CAGGCGCACGCTACCATGCCCGGCTAATTTTTTGATTTATTGTAGAGATGAGGTCTCGCTGCCCAAGCAGGTCTCGAACCCGCGGGCTCAGGCAATCCACTCACCTCAGCCTCCCAAAGGCGCGGGATTACAGGCTGAGCCACCAAGCCCGGCTAAAATGTTTATTTTTTCACATAGAGTAGTCTTTTGTGCAAGATGCCTTTCATATGGTGTATTTTTATTTTTTGGAGTAGAGTCTCACTCTGTTGCCCAGGCTGGGGTGCAGTGACGTGATCACGGCTCACTGTTGACTTTACCTCCTGGGCTCATGCAATCTTTCCACCTCAGCCTCCTGAGTAGCTGGGACTACAGGCATGCACCACCATGCCTTGCTAATTTTTTGATTTTCTGTAGAGAAGCGGTCTCACTGAGTTATCTAGACTGATCTTGAACTCCTGGGCTCAAGCTGTCCTCCTGCTTTGGACTCCCAAAGTGCTGGGATGACAGGCGCGAGTCACGGTGCCCAGCCTCATATAGCATTATTGAAACCTTTTATGGAAGTATACTTTACATGGAGAAAGTGTCCTTTTTGTAAATGCATATGCATGAATTTCCATGAAGCAGATACACCTGTATCAGAGTACTCTGCACTAGCCACCCCTCCCTCGAGAGTAAATACTGACTTATAGCTCCATCATTTTGCTTGTTTTTGTACTTACTAAAAAAGGAAATAATACAGTGGGTACTCTGTTGTATGTGCCTTCCCGTATAGCACTTTGGTGCTCAAAGAGCTCTTGTTTTTTTTTCAACCTGTACAATACGGAATCTAATAGGCAATTAGAGAAACCACAACCATTACAAGGGCCGGGATCACTCTTACCATCTCAGTGTTTTTTTCCTGTAGTCTTCTTTTACCAGGGGAACAGGAGTATGCTGTGTGTGTGTGTGTGTGTGTGTGTGTGTGTGTGTGTGTGTGTGTGTGTGTGTGTGTTTCTAGTGCAAAGGAGGGCATGCACACACATTTACATCTGGACAGGAATGGAACTGGATCGTGCAGGTTGCCTTATGCCTTTTTTAGCTTCTATTCCACTTGTCAGAGTCGTTTTGAGCAGAATACTCAAACTGGAATGGAGATTTGAAAGGACTCCTATTTTGTGACGCCCATGTGGGTGGCAGTTTGACGGTGGGATTGTAGCGGAAAGGTCATAGCAGGAGAGGGCAGGGGCAGAGGAAAGCCCTTCCAGTTCCTGCTGTGCTCCCCAGAGCTGGCAAGACGACCCCAAGCCATGTGGCAAACGATCTCTTCTCCTTTTTCCTGTAGCGTTGGCATCTTCTGTGGTTTTGTGGCAAACCACCAGGTGAGGACCCGGGTCAAAAGGTCTCGGAAACTGGCAGACAGCAATTTGAAAGACTTGCGAGCACTCCTGAATGAAACTCCAGAGGTAAAAGCCACAATCTGTGTATTCCTTGGTGCTTTGTATGTTTGGCTTTTTGGAGCCCCTGCGTGGATTTGGAATCTCATTCGAACCTTCTAGAAACCCAGTGGATCAATGTAGCTTGGCGTTATCTTTGGATGTTGTAGATGAAGAACTAAAGAACTAAAGCAAGTGATTTTTTTCAAGAGTACAAATGCGTAATTTCAGCATTGGTATTTTTATTTTGTTTAAGGTAAACCATGAAATTATACGATGTATTATAAAGGTACTTAACAATTTTAAGGCTCTCATGATATTTTTTAAAAAGATGTCTTTGAGTGCCATTCTTCTTTCTTTTTTGGCCATATAATCGACTCCCCATCATTTGCCTAGCGTTGTGCTTATAATGAGATATTTCTGCTTTGTAACACCTGTTTGGTAATGTCCATATAGGTATGTCAGATTCCTGGGGAAGAACACGCACACACACACACCTCTCTTACACACACTCAAACACACGCATAAGCACTCACACTCATGGACATACAAATCGTCTTTGAAGAAGGGGAACGGGATGGCTGAAGGGCAGTGATGGGAGGGGAGGGCTCCTTTCTTCTGTATTCCAGAAGCATGTTGATGTCCTACCTATTCAGAGCATTGTTTTAAAAAGCGCCTGGGCAACTGTGTGATGCTTGTGGGTATCAACATGGCGGGGGAGCGTTCTCTTCCTGGATCCCCTACTAAGAATCCAGTGGGCCTCCTCACACAAGATGTGTCCTTCCAAGTTTATTCTAAAAAATTAATATGTTAACTGTTGTCAGAAATAGTTGGAAATAAGAAAGAAATGAATGTAGGCCTCTTATTTTTTAAATTTATAAAGAAAAAAGGTTTATTTGGCTCACGGTTCAATGCTGGCATTTTTAACTATTAATATAAAAATCCATTTTACCTACAGTTTTATAGTTTGTATGCAGATGGAAATCTTCCTTTTATACATCTGTAAATAAAAAAATTTGTAGTATTTTTTTACCTGTAATTTTAAAGAATCCAAAGAAAAACTTTTTTTCTAAAAAGTTGGCAAAATTAGACAGCAATTGTGACTGGTAAAGTTTGGGATTGCTTTCATAATCTTATAAGAGTAGTAAATTGTTGGCCGGGCTTGATGGCTCAGCCTATTATCCCAGCATTTTGGGAAGCCAAGGAGAGTAGATTGCCTTAGCCTGCGGGTTTAAGACCAGCCTGGGCAGCTCGGTGAGACCTCGTCTCTACAATAAATCAAAATTTAGCCAGGCGTGGTAGCATGCACCTGTAGTTCCAGCTACTTGGAAGGCTGAGGCAGAAGGATCGCCGGAGCCCAGCAGGTTGAGGCTGGGGTGGCCGTGAGTGTGACACTGCGCTCCAGTCTGGGTGACAAAGTGAGACTCCAACTCAAAAAAAAAAAAGAATAGTAAATTGTTATGACTTTGGGAAATTTACTTGTTTAAGATACACAAAGAACTCTAACAAGTCTACACAAAAAATTGGGCAAAGAATGTGAATAGGTAACCTACAGAAGAAATATAACTGACCCCAAGCAGATAGGATGTTCAACCTTACTCTAGTAATTGGAGAAATAAAAGTTTAAACAGCCATGCACATTTTCACAGAGGAGATTGTCAATCGTTATTTTAAAATGATAACTTCCAGTGTTGCACGGGGAGTAAGGAGATAGGTGCTAAGTCACAGGAGACGGGAGGGTAAGCAGCCCCTTCGGAGGCCAGTTGGGATTGGTCACTAAATAAAATGGATTTGGTGGATCACAAATGACTGAGGATTCTTGGTAGTTTATCCCGTCTAGGGATGAATCTGTTTCTTAATGCTTGGAGTCTTGGCTGTCCCTGTGACTTGCTTCTGACAAGGAAAACACAGTGGACATGACCTTGTGCTAGTTTTGAGCTTAGGTTTCCAGAGGTCTTGTGGCATCCACTTTTACCCTCTTGTTGTGGGTCACCTTAGAGCCACCATGTGAAAACATCCCTGCTTGGAAGAGAGAGGCTACATAGAAGAAGAGACACTTGTTCCCAGCCAAGCCAGCCCTGACAAGAAGATCCACATAGCTAATCCGCAGAATCATGAGAAATAATAAATCAAGTTTTAAACCAATAAGCTTTGGCATGCTATTAGGAAATCTGCATGTCAGAAAATAGAAATGTCTCCAAGAACCCACTGATTCCTTAATTTTAAAATGTTCTGATTCGGGATAATGGTTGTATGCTAAGTCTTTTTGTTGTGGCGTTAGACCATAGAAAATGAGGTTTCATGTACTTTTTTTTTTTTTTCCAGAAAATCAAATATATTCTGGCCCAGTATAACACCACTAAGGACCGAGCATTCTCAGATCTGAACAGTGAGTAAAATTTAAAGTTGCCTCCAATTTTTGTTTCATCATTTGTTTTAGCTAAAATGTGCTACATGGCCATCTTCTGTTAAACACAGTCTTAAAAAATGATGTACGTGACAGTAGGGGGAAAACAGAAATAATTCCCTGAGGTTGTGGACGACTTGCTGTTTGTTACTTGGTGATTAGGATCCAGCATTTATTGAAAGTGTCTGTTTCATGAGCAGCAGAACGTTTTGTGTTTTCGTTTTACGTTTATTGGAAAGCTTTTGCATTCTTGTGGTCACAGATACTTGTTCTCCATTCTCTGTGTGTGAGAGAAGTTGTGTCCCCGCCAGGTACCCTGTTAGAGTCACAAGTGGCTCCTTAGAGAAACCAGTGGCTTCAGAAGTAGATGGTGGAGAGAGCTCAACCCTATACACCACGGGGAGCTCACACACTGCTTAGCTTAGATCTTCTCAATGAAAGGTGACATTCGGCACATCTGGGGACATCTGGAGACATTCCTGCTTGACACAGTGATGTGGGGGGGGGCGGGTAATGCTATCAGCATCTAGTGGATTGAAGCCCAGGTACTGCTAAACAGTGCACAGGACAGTCCCCACCACAAAGGGCTCGTGCCATGGTCTAGTTGAAAAGATTAGGGACACAAGCAGTTACCTACAGCACAAGGGTACAAACACCATGTTCCTTAGTACAAATAAATACCCAGTCTGTGGGTCCATGGTGATTAATTTTTCCCTGGGGGACAGCCAGGGTGGGGACTTTGAAGAGAAAGTTCTACGTGAGAGTCGACACCCAGACAGAGTATAAGATGAAAATGGATTTCATGGTTGGAGAGGTCATAAGGGGTAAGGGGGGAGAGGTGAACAGAATCTTCCCTCACTATCCCTATGCATCTTTGCATGCAGATATTAATTCATTGCTAGGAGGTGGAATTCGTGAACAACTGAGACCCACTGTGATCCCTGTTCTTGATGAGATTAGCACCATGGCGACAGGTAAGCACTGTAGCAGAAAATGACCGGAGAACGTTGCATCCAGAGGTCCGTGGACTTCACCGGTTCATTTACTCTTTTCTTGCTTTCTCTGAGAGTTCGACAAGGAAGAGCCATGGTCTGTGGCCATGCACATGGGCCAGGTCAAGACAGTAATTTTGTTTTATTACTTCTTTACTTATTTTAGAAATGAGTTCTTAGTTTGTTGCCCGGGCACAATCGTAGCTCATGCAGCTTCGACCTCCTGTGAGCCTCCTACCTCAGCCTCCCAAGAAGTTAGGACTACAAGTGCACGCCACTGCTCCTGGTTAATTTTTCCTTTTGTGTAGAGAACAGGGTCTTGCTATGTTGCCCAGGCTGGTCTTGAACTCCTGACCTCAAGCAGTCCTCCTGCCTCAACCTTTCAAATTGCTGGGATTACAGGTGTGAGCCACTGGGCCTGGCAGATTTTTGTGTTTGTTTGTTTTTGTTTTTTAGCTTGTGCCACAGTTGTACTGATGGTTTTAAAGTCATGTGGGGTAAGGCGGCAGAATTTGGTAGGGGCTCATGACCTGTTTTTGTAAATAAGGTTTCCTTGGAACACAGCTACGTTCATCTGTTGAGGTATCATCTATGCCTGCTTTTGTGTCATGAAGGCAGAGTTGAGTTGTTGTGACTAAAGTGTTATAGACCACAGAACCCCCAATATTTACTATGTGGCCTATTATGGAAAAAACTTTTTGGCCTCTGATATAGGAGATAAGTGGCCCATAGAAATTTAGATCTTTTGAGGACTATGGATTACTTTTTCCTTTGTCCCCCTTGAAAGATCCACTTTTAGAAACAAGGAATATATATATAGCCACAATGATAAATGGTATAAGTTAGCAGTTATGTGGATTTTAATGAATTGCATGTTCTACTGCAATGAAAAAAGACCTCTTAGTCCCATCCGAATGTTGAGAAAAATGTCTGTACTAGGTACTTGATGGAGAGGGCAATTTCACCTGTGGAAAACTTTTGTCATTGTGCCAGTATGAGTTTTACTTTTACGAGCTAACATTCCTGAGAAAATAGACCATAAAGAAAGGAATTATATAGAAGTTGGAAAAGTCTGCCCGTTCCTTTTGGCATTTTTTAGTTCAATAACTCAGACAAAAGTACAGAAACTGGAAGGCGGGCAGAACAGGTCAGGGGTGGTTAAGATTAGTCCTAACTAATTGAAAAGGCTTCTCTTGCCTTTCTTCTTGACCCAGCAAGGGGTCCAGCCACAGTCAAGGTGGGTCCTCTTTTGTTGATGTCTAGACATCTGATCTCTTGATGACAAATCATTTTTTTTTTCCAGGCAAGAAAGCTGAGGCCCAGAGAAGGGATGTGACCTCAGAGACCATTGTCTCCTGCCTCCCTGTCCTAGCTGTTCCCACGTGGCTTCTCCTTCCCTCCTTCCTCTCTTCCTTCTTTTCTCTCTTCCTCCCTCCTTTCTCCTTCCCCCCTCCCTCTTTTCTTCCCTTTCTCTTCACTCTCTCCCTTCCTTTCTCCTTTCCTCCCTTCATGCCTCTCTCCTTCCTCTGTTCCCTCCTTCCAAGCCTGGTCCTTGCCCCTCATTCCAGTTTCACTTCCCATCCGGGACTCTCATCTCTGTTGTCTCTTCTTTTTCTTAAAAGGACGTCAGTTTTGTCAGATTAGGCCCAACCCTTGGAAACTTTTTTAACCTTAATTACCTTCCCTAAAGGTCTTATTTTCAAAGACAGTCACATTGGGGGTTAGAGCTTTAGCATATGAGTTTGAGGGGTAGGGACACACTTGGGTCTATACAACTGGGTAGCTGGGGGAGGGGCGGGTCTAATACTGAGACCCTTATCTAATGAAGCCTGTGCTACCTGGACTACCCTAGATGGGATTCAGTGCCTTTGGGCTGTTTGGGTGTAGGACACTGCTGCAGCACCCATGGGGAGGCAACACCTTTAGAGAGAGAGTTTAAGAATCTCGAGTTTGGGTGCTGGTGTGAGCACAGCATGACGCCGGGCGTCCCTGCACCCGGGATCCTTTGTGCATCAGTGCATTTGCAATGTCAGCCTTTCAAGTCCCCAAACGATGTCATAGTAAAGGCTGAACAAAAGTGTATGATGCAGTGTGGTTGGTGTGCACCTTTACTTTGTGCCCAGTGTTGCAACAGCTTTTAATAATTGAATTATAGTGCTTTTTAGATAAAAGACAATTAAAACAATTTTTATTCTTGTCTTCAGTGCTTTCTGTGTTATTATTAAAGTTCTTTTTTTAAAAGCCAGCCAGTTTAGCCTCTGGTGTTACCAGAACTTCATAAAGCGTGCTTATTAAACTACTTTAGTAAAGTATTTGCTAATAATGCTTTGCAGCCTTATGTGTTGAATGGATTTTGTAGAGAGCAGAAACATGCAAATTTTTTTGTGCAAATCATATTTCGGTTGCAGGTCGAGGCATATAAAAATATGCTATGGGCTGGCAACATGTTATTAATGATTAACTGAAATTGAAAATCTGAAACATTTTCCACTTCAGTGACATAATATATCACATAATATATGTGTTCTTGGTAGGTTTGGAATGACTCCCAGAGTTACAAGCTAGTTAATACTTCATAGACATAAAATGCTTCGAAGCTTTTGGAAAACATATTTATTACTTCTGAGCCATTCCTGAGACATGACAGAATACTACCCATAACCCAGAATGTCTATGGCTAGTACCTAAATACACACATATTTTCTAGGCCATCAATTTATTTTATCATCTGTCATTCTTTCTTTCTTTCTTTCTTTCTTTCTTTCTTTCTTTTTTTGAGTCAGTGTCTCACTCTGTCATCTAGACTGGAGTGGTCATGGCTACCGCAGCCTCAACCTGCTGGACTCAGCCTTCCAAGTAGCTGGTACCACAGGCATGTGCCACCACATATGGCTAATTTTTTTGATTTACTGTGGAGAAAGGTCTCACCAAGTTGACCAGCCTGCCCAGGCTGGTCTCGAACTCCTGGACTCAGGCTTGTTTTTTGCCTTAAAATAACTTACCTTGAAATCAAAGTGGAAAGGATTATGAGGGGTGAATAACAGAACATTAAAATGGGAAGTGTATTTTGGCGTGCTTTCTTGCATTCTGTTATGTGTTTCTGGTTGCAACTGACTTCTTTGTTTTTGTTTTGAGCCTTTACTATGACCTGGTTACTTAGGCTTGATAATGCTGACAGGTGGAAAGAGAGATGAGAAACTGACGCCTAGGATGCTCTTTGATAGTCCTTAATATTATTATAGTTCTGAATACTATTAAGCTATTATTATGCCAAAATTCAAGAGAAAATACTCTTTATAGCAGATTTCAAAATTCTATATTCAGGTAAGGTAATAGAATTTGAGACCAAGGAGCATGAAGTCCAGTTCTGGAAACTTTCCTCGGTCTCTGTGTACATCTTTGAAGTTTGGTAGCTACTCAGACTTAGTTATCAGGGGTGATCCGATTTTCTTGAGTTCAGCCCCACAGACCTTTAGGACACAGCCGAAAAAAATCCCAGACTCTTCTGGTCACCAGATGACCCAACCTACTTCATAACTTACAGATGAGGAAACTGAGATATGAGAGATGAGAATTTGCCAGAGGTGCTATAGCAAGATAGAAGCAAAATTGGGGTGAGACCGCAGGCTCTTTTTGGCAAGATTCCGTGATGCAGAGGCGTTAACAAAGGCGGGGTGTGGGGGGGGGATTTAACACTCAAGTCTTATGTGGTGCCAGGGAAAGTTGGGGAAACCAGTTTTTTGTTTTTTTTTTTTGAGTTGGAATCTCACTCTGTCGCTCAGACTGGAGTGCAGTGGCCGCTCCTGGCCGCTGCAGCCTCGCCTGCTGGGCTCTGGCAATCCTTCCGCCTCAGCCTTCCAAGTAGCTGGAACTACAGGTGTGCGCTACCACGCCCGGCTAATTTTTTGATTTATTGTAGAGATGAGGTCTCGCCAAGTTGCCCAGGCAGTTCTCGAACCCGCAGGCTCAGGCAATCCGCTCACCTCGGCCTCCCAAAGTGCTGGGATTACAGGCTGAACCACCGAGCCAGGCCGGAAACCAGTTTTTAAGAGCATTCACACTTTCTTTGACACCCCCAATTGCAGCCTGGTGCTCCACCATCTGTTTTGTGAGCTGCAGAGCAAAGACCTGACCAGGAAGATTCATTTGCTTAGAAGCACAACAGTGCCCTCTAATGTAAATTTCACATCTTTTACTGCTGAGACTTTCAGCTGCCGTGGAAACACATTGTACTCTATGGCCTTCCCAGTCTATATATGGAGCTCCACCCCCTAGAGCAATCCGGAAAGCAAGTAGCTATTTGGGGTTTCCTAGTGCAGCTGCTCCTCAACTTAGCATGGGGTTACGCTCCTGCTCCCGTAAACCCATTGTAAGTTGAAAATATTGAAAGCTGAACAAGCATTTAATACACTATAGACTATCAGTGGTTTGCCCTCTTGATCTAGGGCCTGGCTGGGAGCTGCAACTCACTACCGCGGCCCAGCATCTTAAGAGAGCATTGTACCCCATGTCTCCAGCCCGAGAAAAGATAAAAATTCAAGACTTTCATGTACAATTCCTACTGAATGCATGTTGTTTTCCACCATCGGAAAGTCCAAAAATCATAAACCCTTATAAGTCGTGAACTGTCTGTATGAGAAGGTGTCAGACTGTGGGGCTCCCAAAATAAAGCAGATAGACCCACTGCTTTTAAGGAGTTTCCATCTGATTGGTCTGATCTCCATGTTTTGTGATGAATGTGGCGGTGGTTTCAGTAATTTAAAATGAAGGAACTGGCTCAGAGAGGTTCGGGCATCTGTTTCTAGTCACACGGTAAGTATTGAAGCCCAGATCTGTGCCTAGACCTGCTTAAAGCCAAAACCATTCTCGTAATTGCTATGCCAGTTTAAATTTCAACTCTTATTATTGAGAGTTAAAATATGTCTGGGTGTAATCCTTTTTCATGTGAATGAAAACTTCTTGGGATTGACTTGTTTGGACTGATCTCTTCAGGGTTGGGTGGTGACACCTTTGCCATTAATGCTACACCACGGTGTCCGCCTCTTGTTCTCGGGTTCGTGCTTATCCCTCTGTTTCTGTTTGAGAGAGACTTTAAGCGGGGAGAGCTGAGCTGGTTGGAGTGGCTGGAAGGTAAACTTAGCAAGGCCCTCACACTCCTCTCTCCGACTGCCCCCCGTGGCAGGCTTCTATGCCTGCTGTACAATCATTTACAGGTTCGTCTTTAGCCCGCTTTTGTACATGAAAAGGGACTTGGTACTTCTGCTCTGAAGTGGGCTATTGTTCCTGCAGCCATCAAAGAGACCAAAGAGGCCCTGGAGAACATGAATGTCAGTTTGCACAACCTGAGCAATAAAAGCGCGCAGCTTAACAGCAGCCTGTGGAACAAGAAACAGACAATGCAGCAATCACTCAGTGACCCTGTGTGCATGGTGCAGCCAACGCAAGAAACCTGCAACAGCATCAGAATGTCTCTAAGACAGCTGGAGAGCAACCCCATGCTGGATCAGGTGAGCAGCCCTGGGCTTCCTGTGTCCTGGGCAGCGTGCTGAAGACAACTGGGCAGGGCTAAGCATGCGTGGACCTATCCAGTGCACAGTGGCCTGGCTTGGAGAGCAGTAAGCCGGGGCCTCTGTCCACCTTCCTGGGCCGGCCGATCACCTCATTGGAATGGGGGCAGTAGGAGTAAAGGGGACCCCTTCTTGGAAGTTCTCTGCCGTTTAATGAAATATATCAGAACGAATTCAGCTTTAAAAAAGAAAAAAGGGAGCAGGATAAATTCATGTAGACCTTTAAGAATTAAAAAATATTTTAAATGATGTGCCTAGCCTATTAACGATATATGCTGAAATGGAAGACAATTCCTCAATTTTTCCAAATAAAAAAATTTTTTTTTTAGATTTTTTTATTTTAAAGATGTGGGGTACAATTCAGGGTTAGGTAAACAGATGTTCATTATGCAAGTACCCTTGTTGGTGAGGTGTGCCCCCGCCTCCCCTGGCAGTTTCCCACTACTGCCAACCCCACCTCCCCTCTTGGCAGTTTCCCGCTTCTGCCAATCCTTTTCTTATAGTATTATGATAATTGTTCAATGTCCGCTTATGAGTGAAAACATGCGATACTCAGTTTTTTGTTTCTGTGATAGATCACTTAGTATTATAGACTCTAAGTCCATTCAAGTTGCTGCAAAGTTCAGAATTTTGTCCTTCTTTATGACTGCGTAATAGAAAATACTTTTTTTTTAAATTGGGGCAAGTTGAATATATGAAGTTCTAGGATGTAAGTAAATGATCATGTCTATTAATGATATTTAATTTATTGACTTAGTTACATATGCACCTTGCATTTTATATAAAATAATATTTTAATACAAATATTCTTTTTCTGACTTTCACATTTTATGAATTAATTTTTTTCAAATACTTTGCATGCAACATTTGTGTCTGCATAACTGTTAAGATCATTTTTGGAATCATTGAACAGTTTTTTAGAGCTTAGTAGCATTTAAGTTGTTTGAGATAGATCCTTTTTGAGGCCAACATTTTAATGTTCTTTTAAACATGGAAAAATGGCAAGATGAGTGCATGGAACCCTTGTCTACACCCTTTGGCCACATTCTCCAGATGTCAGCATTTTTCTTGATTATGTCATTTTATCTGTTTATGTGTCTATTTGTATTACTACTATATATGTATATATATATTATATATGCTTAAATAATATGCATTTTGCTCTTTTCTCAAAAGATAAGTTGCAGACATCACGCCCCTTCACTGTTAAGTATTTCTCAACTTTATATAATCATTATACAGTGATCAAAATTAGAACATATGACATCAACCCAATACTACCATCGAATCCAGTTTCCATTCAAATGTTAATCTTCCCAAAAATGCCCTTTGCAGCTATCTTCCCTTTTTCCAGTCCAGGGTCCAGGCCAGGATCACACATTGCTCTTTGTTGTCATGTCTCTTTCGTTCCCTTTAATCTGAAATAGTTTCTCAGTGTGTAGTTTTCTTTTATGACATTGGCTTTTTTTTTTTTTTTTGACTGAGGGTCTCACTTTGTTTGTTGCCCAGGCTGGAATGTAGTGACACTATCATGGCTCACTGCAACCTCGACCTGCTGGGCTCAGACAATCCCTCTGCCTCAGCCTCCTGAGTAGCTGGGACTACAGGTGTGTGCTGTCTTACCTGGCTAATTTTTTTTTTTTTTTAGAGACTAGGTCTCACTATGTTGCCTAGGCTGGTCTTGAGCTCCTGGGCTCAAGTGATCCTCCCACCTCAGTCTCCCAAATTGCTGGGATTATAAGTGTGAGCAACTTCACCCAGCCAACACTGACATTTTTTGAATAGGCCATTTATTTAAGAATGCCCTTCAATTTAGTTTTGTCTGATGTTCTCTCATGGTTAGATTTAAGCTACTCGTATTTGCCAGGGAAATTTTACAAAAGTGCTATTTTATTCTTGGTAAATCATGTCCAAGGTACGTGACATATTCCTTTGATTGACACACTAGAGCACATGAAATCCATGTAAAATGCTGTAAATAAAAAATTTAGCCCAGATTACGCACCCATATAACCACTGACTATGTTGCTTTTAAAAGTGACTTTAAAAAGGTTTTAATCAGCAGGCTTCAGTACTTGAAATTGTGAGGTCATATATATTTCATCTATGTTAAATATCTTTACTTCATTTTAGCTGATTGTAGCAAGAGACCTCCAGACATCTCAAAATTAGTGCTTGCTAGGCCATTCTGAGCTAAATTTATTTTCTCCAAACAATACTCTTGTTATACAGAAAGTGAAATTAGACTCTATAATATAGACACTTTGGGACTTTGATATGTAACAACTTCCTTTTTTATGAGGAATCGTTTTGTGGGTAACCACCTTGCCTGATATTTTGTTTTATAAATTTTCAGCTCCCATTTGTGGATACAGAACTTAACATGGTTAATAACATTCTTAGAACAAATTTGGATGGCCTGATCCAAAAGGTATGTTTTTTTGAAAAGATATAATAGCTTATTTTGTATTGTTAATGGTAGATGAGTGCATAAGAAAACAGGAAGCAGCAAAAAAAACAGTGAAATTCTAAAGAGTTGCCCAGAATAGTGATAGCTGTTATTTTCCAGTTAATTTTATTTGTCATCCCAATTCAAGAAATTTTTGTTAAGCACCTATTATGTGCAAAGCACCATGATATGATAATACAAGATAAAATCATGACCTCTGCTTTCCTGGAGCTCAGAATTTAGTGGGTGTAGTGCTGGACCCTGTACTGATTCTGATACCAGCAAGTCAGCAACACTGGCTTTCTTATTGCTCCTTTCTACTTTTGTACATTTGCATGTGCTGTGCCCTCTGCCTAGCATTCTCTTCTTCCTCTCCCTCTTTTGCCCAGCTACTTTGTGTTTTAAGCTTCCTGTATCACCTTCTTAACAGGTCTTTCCCTGGCATCTTGACTGGGTGTAACTCTTTTTAATACTTTTAGGGTAAACTGAGGCAAGGTAGGCCGGTGCCATGGGAATAACGCAAAGATTCGCAAAAGGAAAGTAAAAGTTTATTCACGTTCAAGAGAAAATGGGACCAATGCTAAGAGCTAGCATGGTCAAGAGAAGACAGAGTTTATTTTCCACTTTCCACAGACAGAAAGGGGCCAACACTCACAGACAAGCGTGGCATAGGGGTTTGGGCATAGGGTATATTTAGGATTAAGGCTCTTATGGGGAACTAGGGAACAGGTAAAAGTTTCCTAGCAGCTGCGTTCTTAGGCATTGATAATATTAATCAGGTGGCTTGTGATTGTTAGGGTAACAGTATCTTGTGACTTTAGGCATGGATCTGGTGGGCCAGCCTGACTTTGTATACCTGGAAAACAAATGCTCAGAAAGAAATAGCCAAGGGGTTACAAGCAATTATCAACCTTACTCAAACAATCGGTTCTGTGAGCTAAGGTTAAAGGGCTATAAGCAAACTGCTGTTTGGAGCTGAACAAATGTGCAATGGCTGTTCTCTATTCTTTTTAAAAACATTTTATTTTAAAGATGTGGAATACAATTCACAATGCAGGGATAGGAATACAAATGATCTTTGTACAGGTAAAGGAAAGTTTCTTCATTTTAACTGCATTAAACCACTTGAAAAAATTAAACTCAACTCTTTCAGATACATTCTTACAGAATTACAAATATTGTCTGTTAAGTTCCTCATAACTGCAATTATTTCTTTAACATCACTGTTCCCCCATTTGACCGTAAACCCCCAAATGGCAAGGACAACATTGGTCTGGCATATACCCCCCAATATCTTACCAATTGTTGCTACTTATTCAACCAGTAGATAATTAGTACAGAATAAATTTTTCTTCATAGACTTTCATTTAGTAGAGTTCCTGGGCCTATAGGAAAAAGAGAGAATCAATTTATTCTTGACTCTATGACTTTTAGCATTGGTGTAAAAAACCTCAAATATCTATACAATACTTGTCTGTGGTGTTTGCACTCTGGTGTCACCTCATATGTTAAATGAAGGAATTGAACCAGGAGATCTGTAAGAACCCTTTGAGCTGTGAAAAACCCTCCCCCCAAGGGGGTGACATTTGCAAGAGTAGAAGGGTTGCACACAGACAACCAACACAAGCACAAATGGACTGGGTAGCTAATCGCCACGGAGGAAACCGAAGCTGTGGACGTTCTTTTTATGACATTTGAGGTAGCAAGACTAAAATGGAAATGGACTGGCACCATAAATCTTATGAAAGTTGTATATTCCATAGTGTTTTCTAGCAGATAGCTGAATACACTGGCAGACAGTGAAGAAGCTCAAACTAGACTCCTTCCAGAGGAAGGACTGAATGTTTCATTGAATTCTTTGGAAATATTTCACTCTCATGTATTTAGCCCCAAAGCCAGATAGCATGGTCTTTGGTTTTTGTTTGTTTGTTATTTTAGCCTCACTACAATTTGTATCCTCTTTAAAGCTGTGATTTGGGACAATTTTTTTTCCTGTGAGACATCTCTCATTTTATTTTGTAACTGAGAAGTAAGATTCTGTTTTTCGAAACTCACTTTCTCTCTGTACATGACGTGTTGTACAGATCAGACTTTCCTAACCTCAGCACTGTAGACATATGCCGGAGAGCTCTTTGTTATGGGAGCTCTCTGAAGCAATGTGGGATATTTAGTAGCAACTCTGGCCTCTACCCACGTATTGCCAACAGCACCTCTCAATTATGATAACCAAAATGTCTCCAGGCATCACCACCTATTTTCTGGGTGACAAAATTTCCTCTATTTGGGAACCACTGGTATAGATATATGTATCCATAATAATTCCTAGTACCTGTGTGGGTAAATACATTGATTTAAAATTATCTGGGCACTCTATATGACAAGCTTTTAATATGATCTTTGAGTGATACAATTGAAAGAAAATGCTCTCTAAAGGAGATTTTTAAAAATACTCTTGATGACCATGTAATGATAATTTCAGCCTTAAGATGAATGTTATATTTTTCTTCTACTTCTCTACTCTATACTAAGTTACAAAATAAGTATTAATAAGCGGGTCTTCGGCTACGTATATCCATTTATTTTGAAATATTTTTTAGGGCTATCAATCCTTTAATGATATACCTGAGACGGTAAAAAGTCAAACTACCAACGTCATAGCAGGTGAGATTTTAAATCTGAGGTAACTTTATGTCTCTCTTTGTAAGAACTGGATGATCACTAAAAGAAGTGTATTGTTAAGATTTGTATTGTTATTTTCCTCTTTTAAAAAATAGTCTGTCACTAAAACTTTGAAAAGTAAATGAAGATCAGAACTTTTCAGCTATGTTACCTTTAGTTAGTGATGTCAGTTTTAAAAGTAACAATCTTCTTACTTAACATTTACAGACATCACCCAGCCCTCAGCTGCCACGTACCTGAGGGCCACACTGTGGCAACCATATCCCGAGGTGTGTTCTCACAGATCCCACAGAAACATAGTTTGGAAGCTCACATTCTGATTGTCTTCACTGAGGGAAAGCCACAGATGATGATATTTTCTAAACAAACTAAAAACTGATTTTTAAAGAAAGGAATGCTGTGTATAAGCATTTATTTTCTCTTTTAGGGAGATTTTCATCTGTCCTCCGATGCTGATGTCATAGTATTTTAGGCTTCTAAAGCTACTTACAATTTTTGTTGAATCATGGTTATGGTATGTGGGGTGAATGGAGAGACAGAGAGAGAGACAGAGAGAGAGAATGTGGTGCAGACAGTTTTTTATGCAGAAATGGGGACAAACCTGGGTTATCTGCTTGGAGAAGAAATCTCTGAAGCTATGTAAAATTGTCTTCTATTTTTAAAATCATTTTAGTGCTTCTTTTTATCTGCCTGCAAAGTGGTTTTAAAATATTATATTAGAGTTATTTGATTTTTTTCCCTCTAACGGTGTTCTTTTAACTCATGAAGAGGTTGGGTAAAAAGTATTTTATCCTGCTACCTAGTGCTTTGGAAGTTTTGCAGGTTCCTTTTTGCTTAATATAAGATTCCACTTTAAAATATGAAGATATTAAGGACAGAGTGCACGCTGACCTGTGCTAACATCTGAAGGCTAATGCATACTACTGTACATCTGACAGCCATCTGCTCACTAACCTCTGTGTTTAATTTTTTGGTTTCCCCTCTCTGGACCTCTTCTGTCTATACGCATAGCCCTTCCTTGTAAATCTACAAAGCAAAGCACAATGTGTGTGAGCAAGGCCAATGGCTCATGGTGTCATTTCCTGAACCCAAGCCAGCGTTTTCCTAGGGCTGGGCGAGTGACACTCCATCAGCCTGGATAGCAGGTGTTTATTTTCATGCCCTTAGCTCCCATGTTTTGGTTGTTTGGTAACAGCCTGAGCACATTTTTTAGTGCTGACTGTGTGCCAGGCCCTGGCAGGCTTTGGGCTATGAGATGCATAAGGCCAGGCGTGGACACACAAGCCCATTATCACACTCTGGTACCATGACCAGGTATGTGCAAGGGAACTGAGGTGGGGAGAAGCTAGTGGAAAGGTGCCTGGAAAAGGGGACATCCATACTGAGGTTTGAAGAGGTTATTTGCTGAGAGGGGGCACCAGCCACATACAGAGTCACCAGTGTTAGCGAGGCATGAGGCTGTGTTGTGTTCGAGGGTGAGACAGCCTGAGAAATGGTCACGGGCCCTAGGAACTAACTATTCTTAGGAGATAGGAAATCTGTGTATCAATCACGTCTCTTAAAAATCCCAGAATTGAGGCTGGACTTGGTGGCGCACATCTGTAATCCCAGCACTTTGGGAGGCCGGGACAGGAAGATTGCTTGAGCCCAGGAGTTCAAGACAACCTGGGCAATATAATGGTACCTCGTCTCTGCAAAAAAAAATTTAAAAATTAGCTAGGTGTGGTGATGCAGACCAGTACTCCCAGCTACTTGGGAGGCTGAAGTAGAAGGATCACCTGAGCCCAGGAAGTTGAGGTTATGGTGAGCTGTGGTCATACCTCTGCACTTCAGCCTGGGCAACAGAAGGAAGCCTTAGCTCAAAAAATAAAAATAAAGGAAAAAAAACCAAGAGTTGAGTCATCTTGGCTGACCGTCCTTGGATATTATCGCATACAATCCATTTGCAGGAGACAATCACCGTGGAAGAACAGTCGTCTCCTTACAAACCAGTTATTCATTTCTGTGGGTTTCATTCCTAGACTTCATGTCTGTGTGAAAAACACACAGTGAAAAAGTTTCCCACCATTTTTATGGGACCCTATTTTGAGCCAGTCTCCCATCTAGACCATCTACTTGAAGTACCCCATGGGTCCCGGGATCACATTGTGAGAACTGCTAATCTTGTCTCTGCTGCTGCAGAGAGGTTTATCCGTCTTTCAGGATCAGTGGACCCTTAACTGATTAGTATGTTTTTAGTATGCCCATGTCAAGAAACACCGTGGATAAACCCCACTTCAGAGCTTGTATGAGCATTGGTCCAGGTGAAACCCTGCACCCAGGTGGTTTTGATTCCCTGTCAGGGTGGACGCTTTCCAGAAAACTCATGGTTCTTTGAGCTTATCTCCTGTCTGAGAAATTAGGATGGATATCAATAGAGCACTGTTTGGCCGCTGGGAATACTGCTGCTTCCTTGCACAGAGGAGATGTGTTTCTGCATGCCCTTCTTTAAAAAGTTCCCACTTTGTATGAGTAAAGTAAAATTTTAATAAAAATATCACCTGGGTCTCTTGTTTTAAAAAAGTGGTCCTGGAAAATGACTGTGTTCTTGAGTGCTATTTCTTAGACGAAAGAGTTATTAATATTATTATTACTAAATTATTTTTCCAAAACCATGTAAACAGTGGCTTTAGAGTCAGATACATCCAGTTTTCATTTCTATTACCAGTGCTTTCTAAAAGAGATCCATGAGCAAGTAATTTAGCCCCTGTGAGCCTTAGGGCCACTGTTAGTAAAATGAAAACAAGAATATCTACCTCTGCGGGATAAGTGAGTTAACACTTATAAAAGTGCCTGGTACACAGTCTGCATGTCATACATTTTAATCACCCAGTCTGTTTTCTGTACTGAAGTAGGAAGAAGAAAACGATGACTTGACTTCAGCAACATCTCATTAAAGTCAGCACTCACAGCTTGCTGTCTTATTAAGTAATTGCTTTTTGATCGTCTTGACTGTATTCATGCTTGTTGTAGACTCTTATCAGATTTTAAAACACATATGTAACATGAGAAGAACTAAAAGTGGTTCAGGCATTGCTGTTTGGTTCCAAAACAAAATTTCTGTCTCCTCCATGTTTGTGAATGCATAACTGAGGTACCTTGTTTTCAGGTGTCAAAAGCGTCTTGAATTCCATTGGTTCCGAGGTTGACAATGTAACCCAAAATATTCCTGTTCAGAATACGCTCTCAGATTTTGCTGTCTACCTTAATGTTACTGAAAGTTACATTCAACGCAGTTTACCCAAATTGGAAGAGTATGATTCATACTGGTGAGTTCCTCTTTTGAGCTGGTAAGCTAGGAAAGTGAACTTTGGTATGGAATGGAATAAAAACCTGACATCATCACCAGGATAACCTTTTGAGAGCCACGACTTGATACACGTAAGCCCTATTTTATAAAAAGTTGAAGTGCTCACTTAGGCCAGGCAGCACATATGCTAAAATTGGAATCAAACAGAGAAGGTTAGTGTGACTCCTGTGTAAGAATGACATTCGAATTTGTGAACTGTTTTGTATTTTTTTTTAAAAGTTGAAAACTGGAAGTTTTTGAGCCAAATAATCAATAATTTACAATTTTGATGTTATTCGTGACTTCTAGAATCTTAGTTATAATGATCAAACCTGACATTATGTCAGGATTTTTAATGCTTAAAGATAATGTCACAGGATTTTTAATGCTTAAAGATAATTGAGAAGAACATTTGGGAAATAAACTTTTCACATTGGTTTATAGAGCAAATACATAGAGGTTGGTTCTTATTGAAAGATCACCCTCTTCTTAGCTGTGTCTTGAAACCAGCAAATTGCTTCTAGAGCTTAGGTGAGTGGGTACACAGTGATTGTTTGGCCCACAAGAAAATGCAGGTGGTGGGGTTTGGCCCTGGAAGATGATGGCAAACATCACAGCCAGAACCCTGAGTGGGGAAGGAACGGAGGACTTGAGAAATTTAGAGGATTCTCTGCAATGTGAGGTGTACTTTACTCTCTGAAGAACTCAGCCCCCTGACCTGTCACTAAACTATTCATACTCCTCAAGCTCATGGGGATCCCAGAGACTCATTCTTATTTGGGTCATTTCTTATACAAGACCACAAGATAACAATAATCGCAACAATAAGCTGACATTTAGGAGACTGCTTTAGAGTGCCCACCAAGCGATTTCTGCACATCTTATTTAGTACTCACAAAAGTCCCCTGGGTTGTGTTCCGTTTATAACCCTGTTTTACAGACAAGGATATTTGGGCTTAAGGAAGTGGCGTGACTGACTAAAGCCAGCTAGACATGGCAGAGGTGGGTTTTGAAACCCCGTTTGGCTTTTTTCTTAGTCATTGCCCTGTAAGCAACAAGCTTCAAAGGGTACCTGCCTCGTTTCCACTGTGGGGCTATGTCAGGCCAGTGAGTCTCAGGACAGAAAGATTCAAGAAACTTAGAATCCCATCAGAGATTCATAATGAGAAGGATTACTACAATTATCTACTTGTCTCCCTTCTTTTCCCCTGCCTGGAGACCATAAGCTTATTTTAGACATAAATTGAACTAAGGAGATGTTTCTTTCACTCTAAAAGTTTTCTGAGGCCGGGCCCTGTGGCTTATTTAATTTTGTGTCCTCAGTATCTGGAACAAACCTCCACAGAATGGCTGCTGGTGCCCATTATTATAATTACTGAGATTGCTCTTAATTGAATGAAAAGCTTTAGTGGCGACTTTTGTCAAGAGGCACTAAACAAAAGTAAATTCTTTATGTTTTTAGTGTCTTCAGTGTTGGGAAGCAGTACTCCCCTGGAGTGCCCCTCACTGCTGGGAAAGGTTTTTGTACATTACGGGAATGCCAGTAAGACCTAATTGAGGATCTGTTATCCTAAAAGGTCTCACAGGACCATTAGGAAATTGAGATTTGCATTCTGCGGGCATTTGATTTAGGGTGCTCATAAAATGTCTAAATGTCCCATGCATCTGCCGCATAGAATGTTTCTGATTCAGTAAAGAACACAATGACCCCAAATATTCCTGCAACCATAAAATATTTTAGAGAAAGGCCAGGGAAGAGTGTCCATTATTTCCTTTTCTGTAGTCTAATCATGATCTAGCCATATGCCATCATCATTATCATAGGCATTTAGAACACCAGAAGTCTTTAAAGAACTTAAAAGTCTCAAGGGCATTTTTATCAGCAGCCTTGGAGAAGCTCAGTAAACCCTGCTTAAAGCCCCCTGTGGTACCTTTGGAAGTCAAGGGAAAGGAAACAATATTCCCATGATCTTCAGGTGAGCACTTCAAAGCTGAGGTAAAAATAAAAGTCTCTCAGTTGGTTCAACTGGAGGACTAGGAGTGGGAAGGAATCTTTTCACACAATGATATCGCCCTCCGAGGAATTAACAGAGAAGGCTGGCATTATTAGATAGCCAAGAATTACTCAACGGCTTCAGCCTTAGTCCACCAACTTTTGTGTCATGGTATCACCTGTTTTATATACAATAACCCTATGCTTGCTTCACCAGGTGGCTGGGTGGCTTGGTCATCTGCTCTTTGCTGACCCTCATCATGATTTTTTATTGCCTGGGCTTACTGTGTGGTGTGTGTGGCTATGACAGGCACGCCACTCCGACCAGCAGAGGCTGTGTCTCAAATACTGGAGGTGTCTTCCTCATGGTGTGAGTGCTTACTCCTCTTTGTCATGGAGGGGCTGGGGTGGGGTGGGGGGCTGGTGGGAGTGGGTTGAGAGTGCAGTGAGGAGATCAGATGGCAAATCCGAACCTAGCGCTCTCTGGACCACACACTCTGGGTTCTAGCGAAGGAGGGATCTTACTGTGATTGTACCTTCCTTGACTGGGTACTTTCATCAAGCATAAAAAGTAAAAGAAAACTCTAAATCAATTGCATTTTGATAGATGAGCTTAAACACACTATTTACACGAAGTAGACTTCTTTTAAAAGCAGTTATCATGGAAATTCTTTTCAAGTTTACTCTCTTGATTTCCACTATTCCTTCTTTCCATTCATTCATTCATTTTCCAGATAGGAAGCTGACCTCTTAGCCAACACTGTTTCGTATTGTCAGCAGTACTGCTAACTTGAAACTGTAGAAACTTAATTTAAAACAGAGGTTGCCAACCCGGCACCAGTGAGACTTAAACAGGATTAGGGATGAAAACATGTTTGGTTCACTGTGAGGTAGCAGGGAGAGGTGAGCCGGAGGCAGACTGGAGTCTCTGCTTCAGAGACATTTACCTCCAAGTTCATGGGTTTGAAAAACCTTTACTCTTGCAGGGTGTGAGAAAGCATAGCAGGCATGAACTGGGCACGACTGGAGCCAAAAACATAAGCTAGGATGCAGGAATCATGGCTTCAAGTGCTCCGCAGAGAGGTAGCCATGTGGGTTCCAAGTGAATATTCTCTTTTTTGTTAACTCCTTGGGAATCAGCAGTAGGGAGTGTGATGGGGTTCAAGGGAGGCAGTAAACATAGTCCTGGATAGTGGAGACCCCAAACCTCAGCCACATACTCTCATTTATCCACTTATGTGAGGCAGCACTGGGATGGGGTTTAGGAGAGGACGATTGGGTGCTGGAGAGCAGGTGTTGCTTATTAACTTGCGTTTCAAAACTTTGGGTCACTATGACAACTAACAGACTTCTTAGGAGCTTTGATTCTAAGTCATTTCCCTAAAATAATTAGGCTGTAGTATAGTACATGCCCTTACTAATATAAATGCAGGCACAAGAGCCTAAAAATAACTTTAAAGCTGATGACCTAGAGTCTGCCAGGACTGGACAAAGAGTCCTACACATGGAGAAGGCTGTTTGCTCACAGGCCGAAACTTAACTGCTAAGACCTTACAGTTAAACAGTTAAACCTTACAGTTGAATTACACTTAACTGCAAGGACCTGGGCAGGGAAGAAAAAAATGAAGAAATCACACCAGCAAGGAAAAATACCTTTTTGTTCAAATGTACGCAGATACAGATAGAAAGTCAGTTGAACGTCAACCACCCTGATACTTGGCTTTTTTTGGTCAGTGTTTTGGTGGCGAGTGTATATGTGTATACATATATATATGCATTCGTTCTATCTTTTCAACTGCCTCAAAGGTGGAATAAGTTGCTCTGAAAAGGTACACTCTTCATCAAAATTCTATTCATGCTTTTTTCAAGGAATACAACCCCAAAATGTGATGTCTAGCTTCAAAGAAGAAAAAAAAAGAAAAGTCATCAACAAATTGATGGAGACAAAAGGCTACTTCTGTTTAGATAGAATACTTCTGCAGACACGTGGTAACCTATGGTGTGCACACAACAGGATTTATCCCAGCAGGAGGAAAAAGGCTGGTCACTGTCCAGGGTCAGGTTCATTTCAGGGGGCCTGCAGACTTAAGGTGGTTATGATCTCTCTATTGTTGAGACCCGCACTCACCACGGTGAGTTTTGCTATGCTTAGCAGAATTCTCCAGCCCTCAAGGCATCTGGTAAACCAGTGAATAACTGCAATGGGAGAAGACAAGTGCTGTCAGTCTAACGAGACTAGTTAGAAGACTGTAGTTTCTTTTTTAAAACGGTTTACTTGCTTGTAGAAACCAGAGAGAGAATATATAGTTCCTCTGCAATCACACCACCTGCTCTTTAAAAATGGCGATACTGGTCAGGTGCAGTGACTCAGCGCCTATAATCCCAGCACTTTGGGAGGCAGAGGTGAGAGAATTGCCTGAGCCCAGAGGTTCGAGACCAGCCTGGGCAACTTGGCAAGAGCTCGTCTCTACAATAAATTAAAAATTAGCTGGGCATGGTAGTATGCGTCTGTAGTTCTAGTTAAAGGCTGAGGTGGAAGGATCCCCTGAGTCCAGCAGGTCAAGGCTGAGGTAGCAGTGATCGTGCCACTACACTCCAGGCTGGACGACAGAGTTAAGACTCCGACTCAAAAAAAAAAAATGGTGACACTGGCCAATCAAGAGGTTGGTCTCTTTCAAAACCAAACAAGGATACCAGTGAAAGATCTAGAAGGAGGAAAGGCAGAGAACCCAGGATCTGCTATGATCCTGTATCTTCAGAAGTTCGCAGGAGCATTTTAGGGACTGATAGGAGGCAGAGTGATAAATGTATTATCTGTTGCATGGGGTGTAGGAGGTTCTCCCAGAGATGAGGGGATCAAAGAGAGGCAGCAAGAATCTCTTATGTTGAAGCCCATTATCAAACTTCCCATTGTAGCTCTTGAAAACAATGCTGGCCACGGTGGCTCAGCCTATAATACCAGCACTTTCGGAGTCGGGAGGCAAGCGGATTGCCTGAGTCTGTGGGTTCGAGACCAGCCCGGGCAATTTGGCAAGACCTCATCTCTACAATAAATAAAATTGGCTACTTGGAAGTCTGAGATGAAAGGATCACTGAGCCCAGCAGGTCGACGCTGGGGTGGCTGTGAGTGTGCCACTGCATTCCAGCCTGGGCAATGGAGTGAGCCTTCGACTCAAAAAAAAAAAAAAAAGAAAGGAAAAGAAAAAAAGCCAACAGCAGCCACAGATGCCATAAACTTGGTATGTCTACATATATGAGACAGTGTCTTGCTCTGTCACCCAGGCTGAAGTGCAGTGGCACAGTCGTGGGTCACTGCAGCCTTGAGCGATCCTCCTGCCTCAGCCTCCTGAGCAGCTGGAACTACAGATGTGTTAAAACTTTTTGTAAAGGTCTTACTCTGTTGCCCAGGCTCGTCTTGCACTCCTGGGCTCAAGCAGTTGTCCTATCTCGGCCACCCAATCCCCCTTCTTTAAAATTAGAAATGGAAAACCTCTCCAATCCCCCTTCTTTAAAATTAGAAACAGAAAACCTCTCCAACACCGCCTCTACCGGTTCGGTCTCCTCCCTGCACAGCAGAGCTCTCAAAAGAATGATCTGGGCTTGCTGTCTCCATTCCTGTCTCCCTCCAGCTCCCCAGTCCACTCCAGTTTGGCTTCCTCCCCATCACTCCACTTGTCTGTAGTCTGTGAAGACAGCACATTTGCAACAGTGGCCTAAGCCCTCCTCCTGCAAACGCTCCTTCTATCCCCTCTAGGGACATCACACCCCCAGGGTTTCTTTCCTGCTTCTCTGACTCTTCTTCTGGGTCTTGTGTGCTGGCTCTCCTTCCACCACTTGACTTTCAATGTTGAAGCCCCCTAGGCTGCTTCTGTCTCCAAGCCAGCCCCAGGGATAAATGATCGTTTCCAAGCTGCGACTCCCCCATGCGTGTCTGTAACCCAGATATCTGAGCTCCAAACACACTGACTTCTGCACAGCATCTCCACTGTGATGTCTCAGTGCCCAAGACCGACATCAACCTTCTCTTTCTCTCCAGAGCCTCAGTGTTCCTGGTCCTGCTCTTGGAGCCCCTTCCCCATCTTGTCACCCCATCCTGCTGCATTGCCGCCTACTGTCATCCACTGCCTGTCTACACCACCCCTGCCTCATCAGGCTGCCACCCTGGGCCGTGATAACCGCCTCTGGTGGTGTTTCATCCATGTCAGCCCTGCCCACCCATCCTTCACACTGTGCCACTAGTGTTCTTATTCAGGGAGAAATCGGGCTGTGCTTTCTGCCCCTCCTCAGTGCCCCTATCCCCTGTCCAGTGCACCCCTGCCTACCCTGGAGTTTCCCCTCCCCTGTTCCCCCATCCCCTGTCCAGCGCATCCCTGCCTGCCCTGCAGCAGGTTCACGCCGTTGTCCACCATCCTGCTGGCTGCAGAGCTACGTTGACCTCAGAACCACCCCCTATCCACTGTGTCCTTTGTGGAAAGTATAGAATCCCAGCTCTGAATCGCTATTCTAGACAGCAAGTAAGCTAGGCATATGATGTAAGAGTTCTGGACTTAAGTGTCAGGGACTGAGAGGTCACGGCAATCACCACTTTGTCTCTTCACTCCTGGGTAGGCTGATCTCTTTAACCTGCAAAACATGGAAAACTCCAGATCTGTTTTACACATCATGTGGGTAGACTTAGCAAGTACTAGTAGGTGATGTTGAATCATTCCTGTAGAGCTACTCATTTTATTCATACTTTTTTTCAGGGGTGTTGGATTAAGTTTTCTCTTTTGCTGGATATTGATGATCATTGTGGTTCTTACTTTTGTTGTTGGTGTAAATATGGAGAAATTGGTCTGTGAACCTTACTCAAGCAGAGAGTTATTCCGGGTAAGTGTGACTTTCCACTTACTGTGGGAGGACTTGATCAGAAACTTGGATTTCCTGCTGTCTTGGGGGTTGTTTTAAGAGCAGTGCACACACATGAGCAGTTTGACTCAAATTCAATAAGTTAAGATTCTTTCTATTTTTAAAAGCAAAAAAAAAAAGTGGTAGTATTCCTATTATTGTAAGTGAAGTCAGTGCCAGGAATTAAGACCTGCCCATCAATATGGATTGATAACATTTTGGGAGAATAAAACTCTTCTCAGCAATAGTTTCTAAATGTGGCTGAGAACATCAGATGATGAATTCCCAGGTTCCTCCCACACACCCGAGAAGTTTCCCAGGTGACAAAGATTACCACACAGATGGGCCCTAAATTTGAAGTGAAAGAGACTAGTAATGTCCATGCCTTGGGCAGAGGGATGTCCCTAATAGATATGTCCCTAACAGATATTTGATGGGGTGATCAGGAATTTAATTCAAGCATCACTTTCGCCTCCAAGACCAACTCCCACAGACTGGGGGGTGGGGGTTCGAGGCACTTGGCAGTTTTGTCTTACTCGTTAATGTTTACTCGTAAAGCATTTTGGTTTAAGTCTAGTTTCTGATTTTGGCTTTTCAGTGTTTTTCTTCAGATTCTGATTTTTAAATATATTCCAAATTCCCTCCTTTATTGTATATGTACTTTTCTACCTCAAATCTATTATGAAATCAGGTGAATGACTACTAAGGTAACCAGCTGTTGTATTTTAGTTATTCAGTTGGTCAAGGGAGATTAAATCGAGAGCACCAATGAGTCAAATTATCTCTATTTGGTTTCTTGATAAAAGATAAGAAGAAGACATCAAGTCAGGCGTCATTATCTCCTGTACAGTGTTGAGTCATTGAAAGGTGATTCTTAAAAAGTAGAGGATATTTCAGAACCATTTCTATCTCTCAGGAACATACATGGTTGTGCACTAATTTTCCCATCATAAATATGTGTGGTGCAGAGGCAGAGAGTCTGTGAGTTTTAATTCATTTTGTCCAGAGAGAGAAATGGTGAAGAGTTGGGTCCTTTGTTTCAAGGCTCATCTCAAGGTGACAGACACAGCTCTCCGTCCGCCTGGGAGTCCTCTCATCCTCTACATGGAAGCCACTGTTTTTAGCATTCTTAGAATTTCTTTATGCATTTTTAAGCAAATATTAACCCTATGTGAAGCATTATTATATGCCTTGGTAATATCAGTCATCATTTACCAGAGATACTTCTTAGGCATTTAATGAATTGTTAGATATACTTTTAGGCATTGCATTAGCTATTCAGAATCAAATTGTCTATTCTATTTCTATATCTAATGTGTTTGTTTTATTAAAATGAAGAGTTCCCAGAAAACATAAACTCATTAATTCTGATTGATACTACCCAGTGGTCAATTGATTTATTTCAATCACTATTATTTCTAATTTTAAGTTAGACTCAATGAGAAAAATGATATAAAAAATCTCAGAAATATATTTAACAGAATACTCATTTCATTATATGTATGTATGTTAGTGTAAAACTGTCTTTTTCTAAAAAAACATTTTTTAATTTGTTCTAGGTTTTGGACACACCTTATTTACTAAATGACAATTGGGAATACTATCTCTCTGGCATGCTGTTTAATAAATCACAAATTAGGCTCACTTTTGAACAAGTTTACAGGTATTAATATTTACATTATACATTTTTCTGTTTATAATATTTTTTTTCCTGGGATGTGAATTTTGCTTTCAAAGTATTTTGAAATCCTAATAATAAGACTTTCCAGTTTCAGAGATAAGCTGTTCTTCACTATTACAAAGAAATAGTAGAAATGAAACCAAAAAGACACGTGGAATGAAGATGTTTTTGGGGTCCCTCTCTCCATTAATCCCTGGGACTTTCTGGTTAAGGTGACCTTTAGGTGCTGTAAAGGGACCCTGTGAGAACTCTTTTCAAGATCCACCTTACCCTAAATAAAAGCCATCTAACGAGAGCTCGATGCCATATCCGGGATGAGGCTGTCTTTATGGCAGGAGTATGCATTCATTGAGCCCCACTCTTCTCAGCTCAGTGGAGAAGGGATTTACCTATTTTAGAATTAGGATCCAGGTACAAAGAGGTTCGGCCATCCCACCCAGGGACCAAGTTGACCCAGCACAGTCAAACTGTACTGACCTTTTGGATCTCTGCGGCTCCTCCCTATCACCATCCTTGCCATGAGGATTTGTGTCTAGGCATGCATTTAGCAAGTAGAGCTCCACCCTGGTAAAGTGAGGGGGTGGGTGGTCTTGACAAGGGCTTGATGGAATAATTTAATAAAGCCCGTGATCTACTTTGCAATGCACCTCTTTCTAGCAAGTATCGTTTTGTGTTTTTTTTAAATGAGAATTTATTTCTTCCCAGGTTGTAAACTCGCAGCAGTTCTGGAAATAGCACAAAGGAGAGAGAAGGAAGGACATATTGATCAGTCCTCTTCCCCAAAAGTGGGACTATTATGAAGCAGGGAAAGAAGTTGGGAGTAGTGGTTTCTGGGGGGAATTGTGTAGCCACTGGAGACACCCAGACCCACTCTGTGTTCACAGATGAGACAAAGAGAAACAGTGAGCTTTTCTCTTCATCTTCAGCAGGGGACAGGCAGCTGCAACTACTTTTTTGGGTCATGATTTCTCTGTTTATCCCCATAGTGACTGCAAAAAAAATAAAGGCATTTATGCCTCTCTTCACCTGGAGAACAGCTTCAACATCAGTGAACATCTTAACATTAAAGACGTGAGTAATCAGAATCGGTCACAGAATCAACATATGCACTTCCTTGCCAAATCCAGTTGTCTTTCTTTCTAAAGTTGAGCTGGAATTCACAGTCGATAAAATGAACCATTTGAAAGTGACATTTAGTTCACTGTGCGACCCTCAGCTCCGTCTGGTTGTAAAATATCTTCTCCCCACCCAACCAGTTGTATTTTGCAGCTTGAGTTTTTCCTGAGGGTTGTCCAGGGCCCTCTAAAGGGGGCTCACTGTTGACACTTCACATGGATGATGTCATTTCACTGAGAGTGGAGGTCCCAGTGTTTCCCCAGGGAGGCTGGCTCTCCTTCTTTCCGCCATATTCTAGAGCTGGACATGTGGCATGAGGAAGTATGATTCACTCCATCCTCATTTCTTATAATCACGCTGTGGCCGCAGGACTTCAGGGTGGGCTCTGGTGAGCTCAGCTAGTAAGAGGCAGAAGGAATGGAAGCAGGTGGAGCAGAATAACCTCCCCTCTTTTGCCTGAGCCCACACTCTAATCTTGAGTCCTAAGACTCTGAGGAACGGAGCCGTGGCTCACGCTTTTAAGTCCAGCTATTCAGGAGGTTGAGGCAGGAGGATTGCTTGCACCCAGGAGTACATGGATATGGTGAGCTGTGATTGCACCTGTGACTAGCCACTGCACACCAGCCTGGGCAACATAGTGAGATCCTGACTCCAAAACAAAACAAAACTCCAACAAAGGCCATTCCAGAGCGCACTGGCTGAAAGAGAGAGCAAGAGAGTTTCAGCTGCCCAGGTCTAAGGTGCCATTAGCCTAGACCATTCCAGTTGTCATACTTGGAGGCCTCTTCTGCCCTTCTCAGCTACTCAGGAAAGAATCTAGAAGCTCTCTTTCTTTTGGGCTTCCAGATTGAGAGAGGATACCAAGGGAGGAGGTTAGTCCCAAGCCTTCCCACTGAGGCAAACCACAGAAGGCCCCTAGAGGTAGCATGAAGCTGTGATGGCTTGATGGTTTTCAAATGCAAAGAGGCATACTTGAATTTTGTATTGATTATCTTTCCTAAATTCTCCTTATGTGTACATGAAGAAAATACAATTTTATAACCCAGCCCTAAATTGACACGAGCCATCCTCTGGGGTCTATGGTGGGTAGTAGGAAGAGAGTGTGCTGCCCGGGATACTCAGGCACTCCACGCTACCAGTAACTCCTGAATGGCTGTTAGGACAACTCCAAATCAACAACCATGTTCCATAATGTGTGAAGACCCAAGTAACTAAACATGGTTCCCCAAATAATATCTTCCCTATCTTCCTGCTTCCGGCTCTCATGCATGCTGGTCCCTTCCCTAGAATGCCAGACTACCCTGTTTCTTTCAGCATCTCTGTTTGCGAAGGCCAGGGGCTCAGAAGTTACCCCCACTCTGTATGATCCTGCCCAGTCCCCTTCCTTGGGGGCCTCTCCCCAGTCCCAGGTATCCCGATGCGGTGCCCGCATCTCTCCATGTGCCTCTCTGACACAGCCTCTTCCCTTGGAGGTCTTTGAGGGCGGAAACAGAATTTTATTTTGGCTTTGCGTCTTGCTTCCTCAAAGAGTGCCTGTCATGGGACAAAAGGAAGAGCAGGGAGGTAGGGAAGGAGCGAAACAGAAAGAAAAGTACCAGGAAGAGATGCCAGTCAAGTGCATGCATTTTCCTGGGTGTTCTACTGCTCTTAAGTGTGTGACATTCTTGGAGAATAATGGATCGATGTACAACTTCTTTTTTTGTACAGCGTACTAGAAGCATTGACAGTGAGTTTGACAATATGAACATAAATGTTAATGTCGTGCTGCTGGTTGATGCAGGAAAAAGAAACCTTCAGGATTTCGCGGACTGCGGAATAGACAAAATAAATTATGCCACCTACTTGGCTCAGGTACGACTCGTGTTCAGGCTTGATCTTTCTGGGGGAAGTTAGTATTGGATAAGCGTATGTCTTTTTTGGTTTGGGCTTTTTTTTTTATTAAGATAAGCTTCACATAACAAAAAGTTAATCATTTTAAAGTGAGCAATTCAGTGGCACTTAGTACATTCACAATGTCGCACAACCACCACCTCTGTCTAGTTCTGAAACATCTTCATTACCCTAAAGCAAATGATGTACCCATTAGCAGTAGTCCCCCAACTCCCTCTTCCCCCAACACCCTGGCAGCCACCAGTCTGTGTTCTATCGCTTATAGGTTCACCTAGTCTGGATATTTTTTAAAAACAGAATTATAGAATATATAATCTCTTGTGTCTGGCTCCTTTCACTTAGCATGTTCTTGTGGTTCAGCCAACACAGCATGTATCAGTATCTTATTCCTTGTTATGGTTGAATAATAATATTGAAAATACTATGACTTTAAATGTATAAATAAGAGTGCAGATGTTGTCACGCATGTAAGAATTTCTCAGCTTCCTTGGTTACTTTATGGGTATGGAACCCTGTTTAATCTGTTGCCTGTTCGATGTTGTTAAGGTTTAAAAGTCTCATATCCATACATGTTTTTTCCACTCTTTTATAGACTGACAAATCTCCTGCAAACGTAAATCTTGTATCATTTGCAGATGATCTATCCGCCAAAGCAGACCAGATGGTGAGTTCAGACCATCCAACTAAATGCTGTAGAAGTCCTAGGTGTCAGATGTCAATGCCGTTCTAGGGAGGCTACGGAAAAGGCTCTGTACACCATGGGCAGTCCCTTGTTCATACTCCTCTTTTGTGCATGTTGGAGGTTCCCGTCTCCAGTCATTGCCTTGTGACCCAAACCTCTCTGAGCCGTGAATGTTGTGGGGTGGTTTTGGGTGACCACAGAGACTCCCATCCTCCGCTCTGAGTGTGAGCACCCTCCCTGCTTTCGTTCTGGATCTGCTTTTACCCCTGTCGATCCCTCCACCTCCAGACATGCGTATGCGTGTATGCAGGTGGTTTTTCCTGAAGTGTGGGTCATAGTACCTGAGGGTGTGGGAAGAGGGTTCCATGGGGTACTTTTTATTGCCGACAGTAAGTGATGAACTTCCCCTTCATCAGCTCTTCTACCGGCTGGGGACTACCTGGCCTTAGCTGGACCCTTTCCAGATACATTTGTCACCATGGTGACAAATGACCTGGGCTCCAGAGAAAGACCCAGTTTTCAATTCTGACTCAGCCTATGATATGGGAGCTTGGGCAAGACATTTCTCCCCTCTCTGCCTTATCTGTAAAATGGGGGTAATAGTATTTACCTTACAGGATTGCTACACATTAATGTATTAAACACTATTTAGGTATGAGTTAAGTTAAGATGTTTCAGTCGAGTATTGGTTTTCTCAGTTGTAAGATGGGGTGACTGACAGTGGCTGTGTAATGGTGAGGTGGAGAGAGAACACAGCCATTGGCACTCAACAAGGGCTCCTGAGTGTGGGTTATTGCTGAGAGATCAGGGTTCTTTGATTTAAAGCCGGGTGTCTTGGCACTGTCCCTCCCACCAGTCCCCATGGCTACCCATATCCGTCATCGTACAAGGAGCTCTTCATGCTTATGTCATGGCTGCCCAGGGCCCCTGTGGTTAGAGGATGCTTTGAGCGTAGAAGGACAATGTTGATACTTTATTTTCTTGTTAGCCCTCAGGACTTTTGAAGCAGTCCCTGAAAAAAGATGCAAACGATATTAGAGGGATTCACCAGCAACAAGTCCTTCCTATGGAACAGTCACTGGTAACAATTTGTGTATTTTGCTGTGACCTGCGCTAACTCTCCTGCAGCCAGCTGGCTTTCTTTGAGCCTTAAAACACATGCTCATCTCATAGGTCCAATCCGATTGGCCTCCACCTCGGAAATTGAGCTGTGCTTTTAAAGCAGACAAAGCTTAATCTGCACCACCCTCTTTTGCCTGTTTCCTTTCTTCTTTCCAGTTGAGTATGAGCAGTTAGATGCAATCTGTGACTGTCTCCTGCACCTCGCTCTGGCTTCTGTTGCTGTGAGCAGACCCTGCTCCTCTCTGCACTTAGCTGCAGTGCTGTGGACTTACTTTCACTCATTCCTCAGTTCTCCTCCTCTAAACTTTGTCTAGAATAGGTGATGGTGAGGATAAGTACTTTTCTGTATGTACTCGCTTAGCTCCGTCGCCTGTCTCAATGGTCACGCTGTTCTCTCTCCCCATCTATCCATATCATTCATTTGCTTGTCACCACCTCTGGCTTCTTCTTTTTGTTTTGTTTGAGTCAGGGTCTCTGTCACTGAGGCTGAAGTGCAGTGGCACAATCACAGCTATCACAGCTCACTGCATCCTTGACCTCCTGGGCTCAGGCTATCCTTCTATCTCCTGAGTAGTTGGGACTACAGGCTCACACCCCCATGTCCGGCTAATTTTTTGATTTTTATGTGGAGATTAGATAACACTATGCTGCCCAGGCTAGCCTCGAACTCCTGGGCTCAAGTGATCCTCCCACCTCAGCCTCCCCCAAAGTATTAGGATTACAGGTTTGAGTAACCATGCCCAGCCTATTTCTCACCACCCTCTGGCTTCTTTCTTCAACACAACAAAGACAGTTTGTAGCAAAGAAGGAATATGGGCTTTGGAGTCAGACACACCTGGTTTTAAGTTCTGCTTCTGCCTCTCCAAAGGCAGCTTCTCAGTTTCTTCTTCTAAAAATGGTGGGAACAATTCCTGCCGTGCTCACCTGGTCCATAGAGATGAAAGACCTGACCTCTGCAGAACTCAGTACGTAGGAGGAATTATTATTGAGCCCGTGTGGGGGTCGTGTTTGCAGTTGTCATGGGAAGTACTATGGAATCTGAGATTCAGCTTACTCCAGTTTGGAAAAGCATATAAATTGAATCAATTCCAACATCCAAACCTTCAAGAACTAGATTTTTTTTTCTCTCCCGGCTTCCTAATTCATTTGATTAAATGAATTAGTCTTTCTATGAACTTTCTTAATTTGTTTCCTGTTCTTTTTACAATTTTCTGCTATACTTATTTATGCCTAAAACAACTTTGTTAACATTTTAAGCTGGCTTTGCATTAAAATGCTTTTTTTCAAGTAGACAGAACTCCTTTGCCTTTTCAGAACTAGGGCATCCTGTCCACAAACAGGCAAATGACCCATGGTCTAAACCAGAGGTTGGCAAACTAGGGCACCTGGGAATTATAGGCCACAGAGCAAAATTCAGCCTGTTGCCAGTTTTTGTAAATAAAGTCTTACTGGAACACATTCATGCCCCCTTCAGACTATCTGTGGCTGCTTTTGGCTACAAGGGCAAAGTATTTACTAGCTGACCTTTTACAGATGAAGTTTGCCATGCTCTGGTCTAAACCATTCAGGTTAACCACTCCTCTGGGCAGGCTCTGTTTTAAATAATAACTTGCACTTTGAGCAAACCTAATTATGAGAGTTTTCTTGGATACCTTGCATGCGATGTGCTACCTTTCGAGGCTTTAGACTATGTATCCTGATTTTTTTGTCACCAGAGTTACACATTAACAATGGGTAAAGGTGCACAATGTTACCTATATCTGTTATTTTTTTCTAGAATGAGACCATTACAGTATAAAGGCAGATTTGGTGACTGTCTTGGGGGAGGGGAGGACACATGTTGTTCGATCTTGCAGCTTTGTGTATTAATTTTGCAAATGTTATCTATGTTTGTTCACCAGAGCACTTTATACCAAAGTGTCAAGGTACTTCAGCGCATAAGCAGTAAATTGAAGGTAAGGTTTTACTCTTTTTCTGTCATTGGGTTTTGTTGTACAATGTTGATTTGTGTAGGTACTTCAAAAACAAACAAGCAAAAAACACTGAGTTATCTACCCATCTAAAATACCACAATGGGTGTTCCCACCTTTCCTATAAGTATTTCCATAGGTGTAGACTTCATCTTAGTAGGTTGTTAGACACATAAGTGCAAGCTGTGTTTGCGTGTGCAGGATGTAATCTTAGAGGGCACATTGGTCACGTTTATGGAGATAATGCTGCCTAACAGACAACCTCCAAATGTCAGTGCCTTTTCACCACAAGCATTCATTTTCACTGCTGGGTTCACCACAGGCTTCTCCACATGCCTTGCCCTTTAGAGAATGAGCCTGAAGGAACAGCTCCTGGTTGGGCCCCTCATATCCTCTTAGTGGAGGACAGAAGTTCAGGGAATGAGTGGAATCACAGGCTGTCCCTTAAGCCACTGCTCAGAGCAGGCACACAGCCACCTCGACACCATTGCCTTGGCCAGAACAAGTCACATGGTCACACCCATCATCACCTGGGCAGGGGAGGAAAACTCCAAGCTCTGGGAAGCCGTATCAGGGAAGGCATGAATAAATCCTGTACAGCAAAGGCAGTCTATCACAGGGACACTCCTGGGCCCCTTTCCCTTAATGGCAATGGAGCTCCAAGCCTGCATTGTATTCACCTTTGTATTCACCATGCCAGCAGGTGGAACTCAGAAAATATTTCTTTATTGAATGGAGTGGGCTGCCGACAAGAGATTTTGGTTGTTAACACCACAGGATAAACTTAAACGTTCCTCCCTTCACTTTTCTCAGTGAGACCAAAATTGTGACTCCGTTCCTCTGATGATGTTTAGGCTTCCTCTCTTCTGGGATCATCGTTCTGCCTCTAATCATGGTTGCCATTTTATAAGCGTGTGCCAAGGGAAACTGGAGGCAGACACACTGGTGACTGCATGCAGGGGCTTTGCTACCTCTGTGCACCTTGACATGACTTGCAGGGTCACGATGTACAGTGGCATGATGCCCTTCACAAGAGACCCAGCCAGAGGAGCCAGTTTTTCTGTGCCCCAAGGGCCTTCTGCAGACCCCTTTTCTAATCTGCACCAGGCTGTTATGTGGGTTGGCAGAGGCTTTGTCTGATGCGATGATGCGGAGAGTGTGGACTATAGATGCACACGTGCTTCCCAGTGTGGTGATCTTGAAAGGGATCAACTCCCCGTCTGTGAAGGGAGCCTAATCCACCTTCCCCCCAGCCTTGCAGTGGAGGCAGTTCTTATGGACAAGCCCAGTGTCTGGCCAAAGCAATTGTGCCTCTGTACTCATCTCCTTCCCTGCCTTCAAGGCTGGGCCAGTTCCGTCATCTTCCTCACGGGCAGGTCCAGGTCATGGTATCGTGGGGCTAGGTGACAGTACTCAAATCGATATGCAGATTGTCTAATGAAGTCCTTTTATCACCTGGCACTGCCGATGTTTTCCAGGAGAACGTGAACAGGAGTCTTAACTCTTTGGAATCGGCTCAGAATTTCGTCACAAACAATATTTCCTCTGTTATTGTTGAAGTGAGTATTCTTTTTTTAAAAAATAAGCATCTTCAGTAAGTGGGCATGTGAACATTACAGATTAAATATCTATGGGATTTAAGTATGCTCTCGTCATTTTAGTGATTTTACTAATCTTTGATTTCTTTCCAGGAAACTAAGAAGTATGCAAGAACAATAATTGGATACTTTGAGCATTATCTGCAGTGGGTCGAGTACTCTGTGAGTCGTTTATCTTTTATGAGCATAAAGGAGGCCATGTCTTAGAATAGTCATTTTCGAGGGTAAAATCTGGAGGAAATAAAATTAGATTCCCAACAATTCGGTATTAGGTAAGTGAAAGGACTTGGAAGTGTGAGACCAAGACTTCTGGGGTCTACCCACCAGGTCAGAGGACATCCCCCCTCCTGAGTCCCGTCTGATTCTTCCCTTTGCTCATCTTCCTCATATGAATGGTTTCATTGTCTCCCTGCATCCTTTGTCAGATAACAGAGGGGTTAAGTAAAAGATTTGATCTGAAACACTGCTGGAGATAGGTACTTTTTAATTCTCTAAAAGAGTCCTGTAGGATGGGTCTTATTGTTCCAGTAACAAATGAGAGGGCCAGGCACAGTGGCTCACGTCCATAGTTCCAATTTGGGGAGGCTGAGGCAGGAAGTTCACTTGAGCCCAGGAGTTTGGAACCAGATTGGACAATATAGCCAAACCTCATTTCTACAGAAAATAAAAAAATTTGGCTGGCATGGTGGTATACACTTGTAGTCCCAGGTACTAGGGAGCTTGAGGTAGGAGGATCTCCTAAATCCAAGAGGTCAAGGCTGTGGTGAGCCATGATTGTGTCACTGCCCTCCATCCTGATGACAGAGTGAAACCCTGATTCAAAAGAAACAAAGAAAGAAAGGAAAGAAAGAAAGAAAACTGGAAACTGAGGCTCTGGAAGAGTAGGGCCTTGCTTTAAAGCCTATAAGGTTTTCTCTCAGTTCCCATGGGTGATTGGTTCCAGGCACCCGTGAAGATACCAAAATCCACAGATGCTCAAGTCCTTTGTATAAGATTGTGTGGTGTTTGCATATATCCTATGCATATCCTCCCATATGGTTTAAATGATCTCTGGATTCCTTATAATACCTAATACAATGTCAGTGCTATAGAAATAGTTGCTGTATTATTTAGAGAATTATATCCAGAGAAAAAAATATGTACATGTTCAATATAGATGCAGCCATTTTTTTCTGAATATTTTTGATATTTTGATCTGTGGTTGAATCCACGAATATAGAACCCACAGAATAGAGGACCAACTGTAATTTTATATGATGTAGATAAAACTCATCCCTACAAATCAACTGTCAGCTCCATGTCTTAGAGGACACGAAAATCCCTTTGTGCAAAACTAGGACAAAGGTAAATGGCATGTCTAGTCCTTGTGGATTTTTGTGGATGTGGCTCAAATTTGCCTGTGTTTCCACCCCCCACAGGTCAGTGAGAAACTGGCATCCTGCAAACCTGTGGCCACGGCTCTAGATTCTGCTGTTGATGTCTTTCTGTGTAGCAACATTATTGATCCTCTGGTAAGAATTTCATCTTTCAAAGAAGTAGACACAATAAATCCATCATCTCTGATTTGCTTTTTCCCCAGATTGGAATCCACACTATAATATTTGTTTTCTGCCTGAGTCTGTTACAGTTTTAGAGTGTAAACCCTAAAAATCTAAAATTTAGATCGATGTGTCTTGATGCCTAATAAAGAAAAGCTGAAGTCCTAGCTATATATCTTTGTTCCTTACGAGAAGTATATTTGCAGATGTTAGGAGACACCCTCGAGAGGAAAATTACTATCTGTCCAGAATAATCAGAAAGAAACAGTCATTAGTGTGCAGATTGCTATTATTCAAAAGAGTTCTTAGTGCGACTATATATACAACCCCAAAGCTACACCAAACTTAATGTGTCACTTAAAAGACCTTTGAGATATGACCATTGGGATGGTAAATTTAAGTTAGTCAGGTTTATTCCTCAGTTCTGTTCCCCCTCGACAGACAAAGACACTCTCTGCTAGCTGATTCTCTCATTGTCTCTGCTGGACTATCTATTTGTGTTTCTTGGATGAAGACCTGTCTCCCAACACACTAGACTCTGTAAGTATAGGGCCTATGTGTTCAGGGCTGTGTCCATCTGGCATATTGCCTGGCAGACAGTTCTGCCACTGAATGAATGAAGGATGACCAGGTAGCTCTCTGCCTCCGTGCATTCATATGGCTCTGTCCATCTCCCTCATTCACGTGTCCCCCTGTCTGCTGGATGGACTTTCACACCCAAGTGGGAAGGATTCCAACCCACAGACCTAGGCCCTGCTGCTGGCCTTAGTTGAAGCCCTCACTGGGGGAGTCGGGGCCTGATTCTGAGTTGAGCTCTCCCTGTATCTGTCCTCTACCACCCACGCCCAACCAGTCAAATCACAAAACTACCAGATGCTTCTCCACAAATAATCAGGGACAAGCGGAGGAGAGGCCTAGAGCATACTTGGGAAGATAATAGGCTGGAATTTTATAGCAAGTGGTTTAAATAGTGAGGAAGCGCTCCAGGCTCTCACTCCATCAATTAAAGAGACTACAGGCTAGCTAACATGTTTCTTTTGTGTCTTGGTTGTTCCCAAAGGGATTGAGGCAGCTTCCAGAAAAAGAATACAGCTGTTATAAAGCTGTAACTTCTCAAAACAAGGTTTAAAACATTGAAATCTAATAAAAGAACATGGAGGGAGGAAAGAACAAACTGACTTAATATAAGGGGCCAAAGAGGTGTCTCCACCACATAACTCAGCCAGGAGCAAAGCAGAAATACAGGGTCAAGCTGTAAGGGTCCTAGTGGTTGTTATGTCCAAGTGGCATTTGGCCCCATGGTAGGATGCTATAGTACCACTGACAGCGGAATTCTCAGGCAGGGGCCTCAGACTTGGACTTCTGTGGGAACCTAGCAGGTTGTTGATTTATAAAGTAGGCCAAGTGTGAGATGCTGCCCAGAAGTGGCATTCAGCTCATGTATGGTACCCACAGGGTTGTACCAGCGATGCCTTCCTATGTCTGTAAGATTAAATACTTTTGAATGTCATCCTGCAAAAGTTAATGCTTTGAACTTTGCCACACTGAAGGCAAATACCCCTCTTGAAGGAACAAGGACTGTTGCCTTGTGGGAACAGGGATTCAGTGTTAAGAGTGGGAACTTCAGATTTTTCAAGAAAAGATGAAAATCCAGGTTTAAATGTAAGATCTGACTTACGAATATTGGCAACTATTTTAAAAAGGACACTTTAGTATTGCTCTTTAGATGAAACATGATTAAATTCAGGCTTGTGGTCTAGTTTCAAGATTGGGTAAATTAAGTATGGAACATTTGTGGAGACTCTAATATGCAGTTAAAGCATTGCTTCTGTCTAATGTATGGATGAAGATGCTGTCGTCTCAACTACTCAGATGCAGAACAAAGCCAGAAAGGTTCATTAGTCATCTTAATATCAAACAACTTATGAAAGGGATTTAAACTCGTACCTGCTGGCCACCGATGCTCTTACTGTGGAACACTCAGGCAACAAAGAGAGTACGTTTGGGGAATGGTTAGAAGTTGTTTTGGAGTGTCCGAGATTCACATCCTGGCTTCACCACTTGCTGCTTCTGGTCCCCTTTTGTAAAATAAAGATACTAATAGGATCTACTCAAGGTTTTTAGAAAGATTAAATGAATTAACAATATGTAGCCCTTCACACAATGCTTGCTTCATTTGCAGTTCACAACTGGTTTTCAAGTACAAAATGAAAACTCACTTTAAAAAATTGCAAAAGCCTGGTACGGCGACTCACAACTGTAATACCAGATCTTTGAGAGGCTGAGGCAGAATGACTGCTTGAGGCCAGGAGTCCAAGACCAGCATGGTTAAAATAGTGAGATCCTCACAGGTCCACAAATACATTTTTTAAATTGCAAAAAAAATTTCCCCCAGACAAGTGGTTTGTGTTTTTGCTGTTTCTATTTTCCAAATTCCAGCATGTAATCCTCCTGATTTTTTTTTTCCTAGAATTTGTTTTGGTTTGGCATAGGAAAATCTACTGTACTTTTACTTCCGGCTCTAATTTTTGCCGTCAAACTGGCCAAGTACTACCGTCGCATGGATTCGGAGGATGTGTATGATGAGTAAGTATGCGAGTTTCCATGGAGGCAGGGGTCATTTTCCATGTGTTGCTGTCCTCAAAGAGCCACTGAAGATGCGCTCTGGTGGGACGGAACTTGTTTTTTTTAATTTTTTTTTTTTTTTGAGGTAGTGGGTCATTCCTGTTCAGGTGTTTTTTTAAATTTTGTTATACTGTTTTCTTATGCTTTTTTTTCTTTTCCTCTTGCTTAATTCTCTCAGCTTCCTTAATCAGCCTTTTTATTTCTTATTTGCAGTTCCTCTCTCTCGGGGACTTGGCATTTTACTTTATGATAACTGTTTTTACTGCTTTCCATTTTGGCTCTGCCTTCACTCTATCTGGTGAACTTGTGTGTTTCCTTTTTCACTTCACGCATCACCTAAACATGTGTTTCTCATTAATTCACATCGTCAGTGTCCATGTTAGAGTAAAAATGTGGAGTGTGTAGCCACTGAACATTAATAGTAACAAATAATTGTATCTCCCTTTTTTTGTATTTCATAGTGTTGAAACTATACCCATGAAAAAGTAAGCCTTTTTTATTTTTAAACTATTTATAGATGGGACGGGGGAGGTTTATATTATTGTGTAATGGACTTTTAAAATTAAGTTAATAACATCTGTCCAGGGAAAAATAAATTGTGATACCTCTTAAAAAGAGGGCTTGCACATAGAAGGTGCTCAAAAAATACTTGTTGAATCAATGCAAATTTTAGATGCTAGACTTAATAACCTGTAAAGTAATCATTTTGAACTTTGGTCCTTAAAGGGTGCAAAATGTAAATATGCCCTCTTACTTTCTTTGTAGATTGAATGGATTTATTACATACGTTTCTGTGACCATTACATTATCTTTGTAATCCATTATGTAAATACTTCATCTTAGAGATAACATGTTGTTTTTGGTATATTTATTTCTGTTACAGTATGGAAAATGGTAATTATGGTTATCATAAAGATCATTTATATGGTATTCACAATCCTGTTATGACAAGGTAAAGCAAAGTCTGGAAGTGCATGCCTGTCCTGTGCTAAACTTTCTCATCTCCTATAGATCCAACACTGAGATTTCTGCATGCTTCCACTTCTCTGTGTGATTCAGTATCAATGCTAGTCTCCCATCATGCCCTACATAACATTGCATGATGCCATGAGTTTAAATAGTCAATAAACGATGGGAATTTTTTGACAACTAAAATTTGGTGTCATCTTAAAATGCTATGTATAGCAGTAGATCATTAAGGATTCAATGCATGTACACCTTCCATTTAAAATTTCTCCACACCAAATAAATGGAGTAGTAACAGTTCTAAAATCTTCTTCCCTTCCTCTCTTCCTTTTTTCCTTCTTTTCTTCCATAAGTTAACTATGTATACTCAATTGAAAAAAGAACCCCAATCCTTTCTCCAAAATCTTTATGATTTTACATTCTCTAGAATTAAGGAACGTTTATGGCTTGAGATGTTTATCAGTCAACTCGAGCCTTCACTAAATATTAAAACCCACACATCGACCAGAGATCTGTCTGCTCAGAAGACATGGTGCTGTGATGTGCAGGGGGCATCCTCTTCATTGGGCATGGTCTTCCCCTACATTCATGCAGCTGGCCCCTAGCCAGTGTTCTTGTCCCCTGCAAGTGATATCTCAGGTGCAAAGTAGTGAGCCTAACACTGATACATAGGAATATCCACCTTGCCTTAAATGCTCCATATGGGCATCCAGTTAAAAAAGCTACCACATTCAAGGAAGCCCACAGCTTTGGCTTCACCAGATGTTTGCATTTAGGGCCTCCTAGTCCAGATGCAATTTACCAATCAGGCACATTCTTATCTTAAGTGATGTTGTCTAGTAACAGTTGATGCTCCGCCTTTGTCAGATTTCAAGATGAACACAGCTAGAAAGTTATTAAAATTTGTCCTTTCAGAAGGGGATAAAGGTTTACCTAACTTAACACTTTGATCATTACAAAAATTTCAGAACTTTTAATTTGCTATTTAGGGTGAGGGAAATCGTCTTAGTGCATTTGAATTGCTGAAACAAAATGCCTTAAACTGGATAGAATATAAGCGACAGAAGTTTATTTCTCCCAGTTCTGGAAGCTGGAAAGCCCAAGATCAAGGTACTTTCAGATTCATTATCTGGTGAGGTCCCGCCTTATTATAGGTGGCATCTTCTGGCTGCATCCTCACATGAGGAAGGGGCAAGGCAACTCTCCTGGGTCTCTTTTAAGGGGACTAATGAGAGTTGTGTCTTTGTGACGTGATCACCTCCCAAAAGGCCCTACCTCCTAATACCATCACCTTGACTAGGATTTCAACATAAGAATTTTAGGAGCACACAGGTATTCAGACTATAGCAGAAATGATAATAATTTTTTTTTAAATTAAAGTTCTGAAGTGGCAGTTGACTTCATCTCATTTGCTATTTCCAATATGCTAGACTTGGTTGCTAGAGTGCATGTTGTGATGGATTTGAAGATTGACTCAAGACAGCCGTCCATTAGCCAGGTGTGCTCTAGGGAGGGTACACAGTGCAGTTGCCTGCATCATAGGCTGGCCTTCCCTTTCATGGTGTAGCATGCTTGGAGGGTTTCTTATATTTAGGGACTGGAATTTTCAAGATCACAGGAAAGCTGTTCTCAACTACCTATGTTGCCTAACATCGGATCTTCTAGGACTTTCTGACTTTGTAGAATGGGTTCACGGTGCTTACCTCTGAGTTGTGAAGTCTCTAAAAGTATTCCCTGTACCAAGAAGCATCATTGAGGCTGCATGGAGGACACGTGAGAGAGGCAAGCCTGGTGGCATAGGAGGGTTTCCAGGAGGCAGTGCTAAGGTGGGACTTGAGTGCAAGAGGATGTGAAAGGAAGGGAAGAAGTCAATGGGGGCTGCCAAAGCCTGGCCTACCTGGCAGGAGCTCTGGAGCAAGCATTGCCTTTCAAGAGTTGCCCCCAGGGGGCCCAACTGAGCCTTTGTAACCCCATCCCTCCCAGTCACTGATAGGGCTGTCACAGAAAGGATGAGGCCTTGGGCAGAGCCGATCTGCAGCAGAGTTGGACCCTGAAGGCTCCAACAGCTGACCGTGCTGCCCACAGCTGGAGGCAAGTCCTTCTTAAAGGGGAATCTAGAAGGTGCAGCTCCATGGCTCTCTGAGAGGGTTAGGGTTAGGGTTAGGGTTAGCCAGACCTGGAAGAGTGTGCTGCATCCGAGAAGTCCTTCCACAGTTGAAAGGGAGATATCAGTTTGCACGTTGACAAGACAGACTCTAAGATGTCAGGAACCTCCCAGCACACCAGTCCTGCCACGGGTCCTTTGTCATTTAGGTATGATCGTCTCAGCCAGCTAGACTTTGGCTAGTTCTTCACCTCAGAGCTGAGTGCTGAAGAGAGGCAAGAGTCTCCCATCTACCATCTTGTCATGCCCCTGCCCAAGCCCTTTCCTACAAAGAAGGGCAGATTTCTATTTCAAGCGGCAATAAGAGGACAATCAAGTACCCATTCAGTGCCAGGCTGCCTGCCGAAGTCTCTAGGTTTAGGAAGCTTATTGTGGCTCTTCTTATTTACTAGTTCTTACGCATATAGTTGGAACATTATAAGACTTAGTAACTCTTGGATTTGACGTGCTGTACGGGACAAAGGAAATGACGAGGCTGGAAAACATGAACCTATTAGAACAGCCCAAGATGCTGTTGAGAGATAAATGCCACTCTTCTCACTTGCTGATGCACAGTTCATATTGGACTACTACTATTGAGTTTAAAATACATTAAATACCCTGGTTGTGTTAAAGACGTAAAGTTTTAGGATGACTCTGTGGTAATTCCGTTCAGAACAGACATTTGAAGGATTTGTTCTTGAAAAGCGCCCATCAGGTCACATGCCTGTAACGTATGGGGCTAGGAATATCTTAATATCGGAAGAGCTTCATGGGTCACAGTGAATTAGAACTATTTCTGTTTTCCATATTCTGTATTCTATATGATAGTCCCGAGGGCGAGTTGAAGTGTTTTGTTTCAATAAGAGAAAAGTATTGAAGAATGACTGCCGGTCTACATAAGTTTTGCTGAAACACCTCTGGTGGTAACACTTCGGTTGGAGCTTGTTTTCCTTCCTGGGTTGCCACATTCCAGTGGAAACCCTGGTAGCTGTCCTGGGTCTTCAGCTCTTCTGGCGCAGTGAAGAAAAAGCCATAGTCAGTGTTAAGTCAGTTCATAGAGATGGTTTATTTTCCGAACGTGAGGAAATGACTAGAAAGTCCGGGGACATTGGGACTCACTTCTGCTCCTCCAAGACCCTCCTTGAGGTGTCTCGGGTCCCAGCTGGCATAGGTCCTTGCTGTCCTTCCGTATGTCATTGTGGAAGTGTTGTGTGATGTCCTTGACCTTCAGTTTTCTCACCTGTAAGAGGGTGATGATAAAAGTCCTATTTGCTTAGGGTTGTAAGGGTTGTAAGGTAAAACACTCACCCTTTGACCAGTGTAAACCCTTATTTAAGTGTATGTGTTTCACAATAATAACAATAAGATTGTTTCCTTATTGCTGTGACATTTCTGATGGAAGGAACTCAAAGGCGATTCAGAAGATGCGAACACGTGTTTCTGAACTGTTAGCGGAGCCAGCTCCCCTCAGTCTCCAGTCATTATGCCAACTGGACTAGTAATAGTAGCAAAGACAACGAGGGAGACCCACACAAATGAAGCTGTGAACTTGCCTTTTCCACAGGGTCTTGCTACTGTGATTTCCCTAGTGTTTACCACCAAACATTTTCAGCTGCTGCCTGCATCTCAGGACAGAACTAGGTTTGGGAAGAAAACGATCAGTGCATGGAGAAGGTGCTTGGCTCTTTAAGAAAAACCTCCTACATTCTCAGACTTAAAAGGAGAAGAAAAAAATAAAAAGCCTTCTGCAAATCAGGACACCAGTACTTACCAAGTTAGGAGCAGTTTGACAATGAATACTGCTTCATGGGGAATTTCCCAGGAAAATTGCTTAAATAGAAGCCCTAAAGTGAGCTGCCTTTGAGTGGCAAACTCAGTTTATTAAGCTAATATTTTCCCTTCCTTTTTCTTTTATCTTTGTAATTCCTTAAACATACCACACACACGACCAACTTGTGATTAGTCCATCCCATGGTCTGCGGTTTACTTTTGTTTGAAGGAAAAGGCACTAGGCTTTCATGTAAACCTAGATAAGCCTGGATCTTCTTTCTGGTGCTGCTTCTGCCTCTCATTCGAAGTCTGCAGAAAAAGTGGAGGCATATTTTTCTTGGCAAATACTGAGTGACTCTTCTGAATGAAGAGGAGAGAGACAGAGAGAGAGAGAGAGAGAGAGAGTGTGTGTGTGTGTGTGTAGATAAACTTATTTTTTCTAGCTCCAGCTTCAGAGTGCAAAAGGAAAGTCACTTTCGGAGGGGTGAGGAAGGAGACTTAAGAGCAGGTAAACACCAGCGTCAGTCTGGCAGTCCAGGAATCGGGGCAGGACAGCTGTACTGCCTTACCCCATGCAGTCCTCAGGTCAGCCCTCTAGGCCACTGTCACTGCCTCTTTTACAGATAGTCTCAGGGACGTAAAGGCCATGGCCAAGGCTTGGTCTTAGCCCTAGCTTTGAACTATTCTTTCTTCTGCTCTCCTAAAGACAGGTAGGCAAAGAAATGGTCCCAAAACAGAGGTAGAAAGACCATGGGAAAACTTGATTACTTTTCTCAGCCTTTACTGTGAACATTACCAAGTGGTCAGAAAAAGGAACAAATTTTAGGCAGATGTTGCCAGAAAGTCTAGTTTCTCTGGGGAAAAAAAAGAGAAACCTGATTTTAATGTGAAATTTCCCCTTTTTTAGTGTTAGCAAACAATGTTGAGAAAAAGTACCATGGGGCTCAGCAAACCATATCTACAAACTGGCGTTGTGCCACCGAGGGTGTTTCTCATGTGTGGTGCTGTAGGTTCTTAGACGGGAGTAGGAGGGGTTCGCACAGTGGCACCTCTGTAACCTCAAGGAAGAAACAGAGATCCCAGGGAACACTGCATGGGCAGCCACTGATCCTGGCCTGCACGTGCTCTGACTGCGTACGTCTGGTAGAGGATGCTGAGAGCCTTGAGCTTTGTGTAACGTTTCAGGTTTTAGGAGGCCAGGACCTTTAGTGCACCCGTGGCAAACAGGTGCCGCCTCCTGTCTGGGTCAGGTTGCCCAGAGTCCTGTGTTGCCTGAGATCTGAAGACTGAATCTAAGCTAATTCAAACATGCCACCATCAGTGTATGACGTCTGCTCTGAGGATGTCCTGGCTGCCATTGATCAACCTCCTTTATTTTATTACTTTATTGTGTTGGACCCCCAGATAGTTACCATTCGGAGCCTGATTCTTCATGGTCTGAAGAAATGTATTCTCCAGCTAGAGTCTCATCTAAGAGCCTGTTGTTTTTCTTCTCACATCAGGAGCTTCCAGGATTGGCTTTAGTTGTTTGCTAGGGTGTGAATGTTCCCTCCAAATCTCATGTTGACTTTTATTTTCCATTGTGATGACTCGATAGGTGATAAGATCACAAGAGCTCTGCCCTTGTGATTGGGTTAGTGCTCCCCATAAAAAGATGAAGTTTGACCCCATTCCCTCGCTGTCTTGCACACTCACTTGCACTTCTGTGGGAGATGCAGCACAAGGAAATTTCACCCTCACCAGATTTCAGCACCATGATCTTGGACTTCCCAGTCTCCAGAATTGTGAGAAATAAGGTTTTCTTCTTCTTCTTTTTCATACACTATGCAGTCTCTGGTGTTCTGTTGTAGCTGCAGACAATGGACGAATACATTCTCAAACTGGTTTATTTTGCTCCTTCCCTGTTCAGAGGTCTCCAGAGCACACGCTTTTCCAGGATGGAGTGGTCCATGTCTGGAGGACTTCCAGGAGAGGCACAGCTGGGAAGGAGGAGGGCGGCAGTGGTCCAGTTAGTGTGCCCAGCGTCCATCTGCTTAAGAAGGCAAATGGAGATGTCCTTTAGACGTGATCGCCAGAGCCCACAGTTCTTCATAATGTTCAGCCCCCGGTTCCGGCGCTGTAGACAGTAGCAGGAGACTGAGCCAACCCCTGTGTCTGCCCTTTTCCATGGACGCCTTGAGCCCCACTCAATAGAGCATTTGTTTATTTGCTGAAAGCAGAAAAAAGAGTGCAAAAAGAGGCACTCGGAACCAAGCACACGCAGTGCTTCTGAAGGGAAACACTAGAAGGAGCGCCGTGCCTGGCGGGTCCTCTGATGTCCTCACTGTGCTTCCTCCCCCAGCTTCCTGTGCCTGCCACAGCACTGTGGCAGGGCAGGGTGCGTCCTGCGGGTTCAGAGGGGTTGTGATCGCCCAAAGTCACAGTCAGGAAGGGCGGTGCCAGAGTCAAAACTGCAGGCCTCCCACAGGAAGTTCACTGGTCTCCCCATTGTGTAGGCATTTTTGGTTATCATGGCCATGATCGTGGAGTGACTTGAGAGGACAGAGAGTCACTTAGAGGACAAGTTCACTGTCTGATCTCACACCATGGATTTGTGGTGGTAAAAAGCCCCTGCAGAACTTCCATTTGCTTCTGACTTCTGGTGCTAGAAGGCAACTTTTAAAAGGCTTGGGGCAGATTTGTGACCTGCTGCTGTGGTCTGGTTTCTGCTTGTCTGAAGTCTTCAACACATATTCCTAGTGATCCCTTACCACTTTTAGCCTTAAATTGTGAATATTCACAGTTGTGCTTGTCATCGTTTCTCTGTCTATCCTCTTTATCCTCTCTTTATCTTCTTTTTAAAAGCAATACAAACAGAAGATAGAAGAATAGTTGTTTTATCTGACACATTCTTCCTGATAAACTTTGAGGTGTGGTCTAGACTCATCTGTCACCTTTAGTTACATGCCTGCTTCTCGGCACACAGGTGATAAAACCACCCACAGCATTGCCTGGGGGTGTTATATTTCTATATCTTTTGTTTTTTAGCCCATCACAACGTTGATAGCTGATGTTGAAATTGCTTGAGGTAAGTTTGATGCTTTCATGTAAGAGTACGTATAGGACTATTGTTTTTAGTTTTCTAAACATTAAAACATGACTAATCCTAATAACTTTAAGTGGGAAATCTAGCTCAGAGTATGGGTTATATATTAGGATTGATTGATTGATTGATTGATTGAGCTGGGGTCTCACCCTGTCACATAGGCTGGAGTGCAGTGGCACGATCATGGCTCACTGCAGTTTCAAACTCCTGGGCTCAAGTGATCCTCTGTCTCAGCCTCCCAAGTAGATTACAGGCACACACCACCACATACAACTAATTTGTGTGTGTGAGAGAGAGAGATGGGATCTTGCTATGTTACCTAGGTTGGTCTTGAACTCCTAGCTCCTGGGTTCAAGCAGCCCTGTCGCTTTGGCTTCCCAAAGTACTGGGATTACAGTCATGAGTCATCGTGCACAGCCTATCTGTACGTCCCATATCCTCAGAATCAACTGTGGATCAAAAATATTTTTAAAAATAAGAATACAGCAATAAAAATAATATACATTTTAAAAACAACACAGTATAACTGACTATGTAGCATTCACATTGTCCTAGGTTATTATAAGTAACCTAAAGATGATTAAAGTATACAGGAAAGGTTCTGGAAACAATCACCCATGAATAGTGAGGAACGATTGTATATGTTATTCAATGACTCTCCCTATATGTGTATACACACACATTGACTGTATAAATATGTGTGTATCTATCTATTTGTACAATAATTGTGTGTGTGGATGGTAAAAAACTAAGCCAGACACCAGGATCTGTGTCTGTAGTCCCAGCTACTCGGGAGGCTGAGGCATAAGGTTCACTTAAACCTAGGAGTTCAAGGCTATAGTTCAAGGCTATGGTCACACCTGTGGATAGCCATTGCACTCCAGCTTGGGCAAATAGTGAGACTGTTTCTTTATGAAAATAATGATTTTTTTAAAAAAACCTCTAGATATCTGTACCAACTATGTACCTTGAGTATTATGAACTTAAAAGTTTTTTTAATGCATTTCTATATTTTAACAAACTTGCAACAAACATGTTTTTTTGCTTCTTGAACAGGTTTATGTTTTCCATAGTTCTTAGGCTCCTGGTGGGAACCATTAAGACTATGCATTCCTGGTTTTCTCTTTAATCACTCAGAGCCAGTTTCTAAAATCTTGTTTAACCTTTATTTCAGCATCAAGATACTCAAAGTGGAAAGGATCACAGATGTTTGATAGTTTCTGGGTCTACAAGGACTTTCCAAATCCAGGAGGAACACTGGTGCGACACAGTGACTCGGGCAGGCACCAAGGAAGTGGCGCTGTGGGTCTCTGGGTAGTGCTTTATTAGGAATGAACACAGCCATGTTCATAGTCCATGTGTCCATCACTCTTCAAGGATGGTTCCCCCGCCCCTGTTGATTTTTTACTTTTTTACACTGGGTTTCTATTTAGACACTACAACATATTATGAGGTGTTTGTTCCCAATAGGTGCAGTTCTGTATGACAAAGCTATTCAGACAGGATGGCTCGATTTTCAATATGTTGCCACATGTGGAGTGTGCTAAACACATACCCGTTTACAGGAAAGATACATTTCGTGTTTAGTAAATTATGTGTATACTTTTTTATTACCAGAGGTTTTTTTGGTTTTTTGTTTTTTTGAGTTGGAGTCTCACTCTGTCGCCCAGACTGGAGTGCAGTGGCCGCTCACGGCCACCGCAGCCTCGACCTGCAGGACTCCGGCGATCCTTCCGCCTCAGCCTTCTGAGTAGCCGGAATTACAGGCATGCGCTACCACGCCCGGCTGATTTTTTGATTTATTGTAGAGATGAAGTCTCGCCTGCCCAGGCAGGTCTCGAACCCGCGGGCTCAGCAGTTCACTCACCTCAGCCTCCCAAAGCGCAAGATTACAGGCTAAGCAACCAAGCCCGGCCACCTGCCTTTCTTATACAGATACTCTTTATTTCTACCTTCTGTTACAAAAAAGTGTCCGCACTACTGTGAAAGTACTTCACACATTCTCTTTCTACATAATGCCAGCTAATTTTTTTAAATGTTTATCTCAGTATACATTCCATCTCTATTTGCTTTTTTGTGTAATTTGAATGGAAAACTTAAAGGAAACATACATTTTTGAAAAATTGCCCTGGCATAAGTTTTTCTGTATAATCACCAATCTCTTGATGTTCTGAGAGGGAATATCCAAATGGTTTGCTAGATTTATGATGTCCTCTCAGAGGAGACATCAGAGTGCAAAGGGTTAAATAATAGAGTACATAAATAGATTTTCCTTTTAGAAAAAAATATTTCGGATAAGCCTACATTCTGTTAACCATCTCTTTTTCCCGGTCTCTACCCCAGTGGTAAGGTTATAATCAGTTTGGGCCGTCATGGTACCTCATGCCTGTAATCCCAGCACTTTTGGGGGCTGAGGAGGGAGGATCACTTGAGTCCAGGAGTTTGAGACTAACCTGGGCAACATAGCAAGATCTTGTCTTTACAAAAATGTTTAAAAGTAGTTGGCATGGTGGTGCACCAGAAGGTGAGATAGGAGGATCACTTGAGGCCAGGAAGTTGAGGATGCAGTGAGCCAGGATTGTGCCACTGCATTCCAGCCTGGGTGACCAGAATGAAACCCCAGCTAAAAAAAAAGTGTTACCCTAAAAGCACAATGATGTCTCAGACATCATTCCTTTTTTTTTTTTTTTTTTGGTCAGACT